TGTTTCATATGATTTGCTTCCTGGACGTGATAAAATCACCTTAGCCGATGGTTCTCTTGCCCCTATTTCTGGCAAGGGAACCATCAAGGCTACAGATTCCTTGTTCCTACCTTCTGCCCTTCATGTACCTAGACTAAATACAAATTTGTTATTTGTAAGTAGTCTAACCAAGTCATTAAACTGTTGTGTAACCTTCTTTCCTTCTTACTGTGTTTTTCAGGATCTGGAGTCTCAGAAGGTGATTGGGAGTGGCCATGAGGCGAACGAAATATACCTGTTTGATACTCCGGGATAATGCCCTGATCATCATGGAAATGTTGATTTTGGGTTTGTTTCTTCAAAGTCTATTAGTCGAATTATGTTATGTCATCTTCGTTTGGGTCATATTTCTTTTTCTGCTTTGAGTCATTTATTCCCTAAACTGTTCAAGGGAATTAGTTTGTCCCGTCTTCATTGTGAATCTTGTGAGTTGTCAAAGCATTGTAGAAACAATTATCCTTTGAGCAATAAAAGATCTTTTCCTTTTAATATTGTGCACTCTGATGTGTGRGGGCCTTACCACTTACCCTCTATGGGTRGCTAYARATATTTTATCTTGTTTATTGATGACTTTTCTCGGTTCACTTGGATATTCCTGATGAAATCCCGTGATGAAGTTCCAAGACTTGTAAGATAATTCCATGAATTTGTTCTAACCCAGTTTGATACCAGGATTAAAATTTTCAGATCTGACAATGCAAAAGAATATTTTGAGAAGAACCTATCCTGCTCTCTCTCTGACATGGGGGTTATTCATCAAAGTTCTTGTATTAGGACCCCAGAACAGAATGGAGTTGTTGAAAGAAAAAATAGGCATATTGTTGAAGTTGCAAGAAGTATTTTGTTTGCCTCACATGTTGTTCTCACTACTACCTACCTTATAAACCGTATGCCATCCAGGGTTTTAGGGTTTAAGTCTCCCTTCAATCTCCTTCATCCGGACAAGGACCTTTTTCCTATTCCTCTTCGTGTCTTTGGCTACACCTGTTATGTACATGTTCCAAGTGTCCAAAGGCATAAATTTGAACCAAAAGCCCACAAGTGTATCTTCTTTGGTTATTCCCCCACACAGAAGGGTTACTGTTGTTTTGATCCAAAGACTGGCACTCGGTATGTCTCAATGGACGTCACCTTTGATGAGCTTTCTCCCTTTTATGGTTCCTCTTTGGAAGGACATTGTCCACAGGGGGAGGATTTGTCACAGGTGTTTGCTCTTCCTCTTCCTGTCCCATTTGAGTCTTTTGATGAGTCTGCTTCTCCTTCAAATGAATCAAGGAAGGATCAGTCGTTCCATTCTCCCTATCCCAGTGTTCTTCCTCCTTTACCTCATCGTCCTATCCTCAATCTCAAGGTGTATCAAAGGCAAATATCCAAAAATGAGCAGGTTGTTTCCCTTACAACACATGAGCCTCATGCACTTCCAGTCACAGATGAGACAACAGGTACTGTTTCAGCCCCTTTGGAGACATATTTCCCTGACCTTGATATTCCCATTGTGTACTGCACATTGCATTTCCAAACACCTTTCTTACAGTCTGCTTTCTCCTTCATACTTTGCCTATCTCTCTTCTGTTGCCTCTAACCCTATTCCCAGATCTGTGTCAGAAGCTCTTAATATTCCAGAATGGAGGGATGCTATGAGATCTGAAATTGATGCCCTACACAAGAATGATACTTGGGAAGTGGTTGATTTGCCTAAAGGGAAGGATCTAGTTGGTTGCAAGTGGGTCTTTACCATCAAATATCAGGCTAGTGGCACCATCGAGAGGTACAAGGCTAGGCTGGTTGCAAAAGGTTATACACAGACATACGGGATTGATTATCTGGAGACCTTTGCACCTGTTGCCAAGATGACATCAGTGAGGGTTCTTCTATCTCTAGCTACCCACTCCGACTAGCCCCTTTATCAATTGGATGTAAAGAATGCATTTCTGAATGGTGAATTACATGAGGAGGTTTATATGTCTCTTCCTCCAGGGATGTATGGAACAGATATGAAAGGRAAGGTATRCAGGCTGAAGAAATCTCTTTATGGACTAAAACAGTCCCCTAGAGCATGGTTTGAGAGATTTAAAACAACACTTGCTAGATCCAAGGATGGGATTCTTATCTCCCAAAGGAAGTATGTTCTTGACTTACTCTCTGAAACTGGGAAAATGGGTGCTAGACCAGATGCTATTCCTATTGATATGAGTCATAAACTCTTTGCTTTAGATGGAACATTGTTAGAAGACAAAGGAGTCTTCCAGAGACTTCTTGGGAAACTTTTGTACCTATGCATGACTCGGTCAGATATTGCATATGCTGTCAGTTGCATTAGCCAATTCATGCATGCTCCCTGAGACACTCATATGGCAGCAACAGAGCGAATCCTGTGTTATTTGAAGGGCTCCCCAGGAAAGGGAATTCTGTTTGCCAAGCATGGTCATATGAAACTTGAAACCTATAATGATGCTGATCGGGCTGGAAACATTGATAACAGAATATCTACTTCTGGGTATTGCAGCTTGGTGGCTGGTAATGTTATTTCTTGGAGAAGCAAGAAACAATCGGTTGTTGCTCAATCTTCAACAGAAGCAGAATACAAGGCCATGGCATATGGAGTTTCTGAACTATTATGGCTAAAATCATTGATGGAGGAACTAGGGGTTGAGCAAGACAAGCCAATGATGTTGTACTGTGATAATCAGGCCGCCATCAACATTGCTCACAACCCAGTGCAATATGATAGAACTAAGCATATTTAAGTCGATAAACACTTTATTCGAGAAAGGGTCTCTTCAGGTAAAGTATGTCTTCCTTTCATCACATCTGAAGGACAGTTGGCAGATTTTCTCACCAAAGGCATTCTCAAGGCAAAACTTCAGCATGATACTGGCAAGCTTGGCATGATTGACATCTATGCTCAGCTTGAGGGGGAATGTAGAGAAGATGGGCCAAATAGCCCATAGGCTGTTTATCCTTTCTTACTGTTTATGTTCCTTTCTGTAATGGGCCTTATTCTGGGCCCATCCTTTCTATGTTATGTTCTTTGTAATTTCTTGCCCAACTAAGGGCCTCCTTGTAATTATTCAAAACTTAATAAAATAGTGTTAGGGTGTTAGAGAGAGAGGAAGGTTCGAAACTCTCATACTCTAAACCCTTATTGCCACCATCTCCTTCTTCACCCTCTACTCCAAAGAAGAAGTATTTTCTGTTGTTCTTCGCGATTTCTTTTGATTTCTGCATCTATTCTAAACAGTCCCACTCTCAAGGACTGCTTTTCTTCTGTTTTCAACCGCTTATAACTCAAAGCCAAAAATGCCTTGTTCAAATTGGTGTTTCAAAATGCATATATTATTGTTGCACTTTATGAAAACTTCATATACCTTTACTACCCCTTAAAACCACGAATAGATATTTCTAGCCAACTTTTAGCCTCCATATAAGAAGTTTTAAATTCTTAAATTAACTCTCCCATACCCTTATTTACAAAAAGGAGGAAATGTATCTGTTTCAAATCTTCACCCAATACTAACACATACATAGTATAACCCTCCACAACCAAAAACTATAACATCAGATTAAGCAATGCCAAATGCTTCCTTAGAGTACCCATACTGATGTAGTGGGGGATATTGAATACTGGTTACTAAATGAAAATTTCTGGTTCTCTACCCGGAACAGTTTCTTCTCTTGCCAACATTCCTTGTTTGTTTTGTCAAGAATCTGGAAAAAAATGCAAAAATTGCAGGGTGTAGCAAGTTTTATTGCTACTAATTTTCATAAACAGTAGAGATTCTGATTGAATTTAGCATGACTTGAGCAAAACCTTAAACATCAAAGACTCAAAGCATGCATGATATTATTACGGCAAAAAAACGACATGATATTAGCACACCTAATGAGTTTACCATACTGGATAAACAAAAAATATTCTGGTTTCCAGACTAATATTTCTATCAGTCTCCATATCTAATCATCTTATGGTAAAACTTATTTGCATCTACAGGTAAGTAGCATATTTCTTCTGGAACATGATACTCGCATTGGAGCAGGAAATCAGACCTGCACAGAGTTATGAAGTAGAGTGGACAAGGATTTATTATTTACTTACACAGGACTTTAGTAGTACAAATCTCTGATTGGAATGATAACCCTTTACTGAACTCCAGAAAAGATTTGCCTGCAAGATACATCCATACTACCATATGATAATCAAAGATAGGTAAAAATAATAGCTGTATTTTCACAATTTGCAGATAGAGACATGGAGAAAAATGAGACCAGCATCTAGAAAGGAAGTAATCTTGCCATTTCTTGAAGTGTATCGCATCTGTGGCCCACTATATACTTCTTTATGCACAACAGCTCTTTTTTTAACTTCTTCCTCCCTTGCCAAGACCCGCTCAAGGTTCCTCAAGTTCATGATTTCTGCAACGTTCAATCTATGTCAGTTTTAGTCCACCATTTCCAAAACTGCAGAGATGATATTGTAGACTTCATAATTGCATTCAGATAAAACTTTGACAAGCTACACACTATCTCTAGTAATGGACCTTATAATCTAAACCTGTCTGGGCTGCTTCTAGAAGCATCTCTTCTTGAGTCATTCGCTTCTCCTCGCCTTCCTTCCTCCTTTTTATTGGCTGACAAATAGTAAAAGAAATAACATGCATCAAAATTAGAGCAAACTATTTGAGGTAAAACTTAAGAACTTCTCAGTTGCAACTTCTCTTTCTCCTCATGTAAAATTAGAATTACTGAAGTGAAGGAAACACTAAATTTAATGAAAAGGGGAAAGTGTAAGGGCCTAATAGTATCGCAGTAGAAGAACAGAAAAGTATGGATGATAGGCTTACTATGGCTAACTAAGCTATTTAATAAAATAATGAAAGAAACGAAGATGCCTAATGAATGAAGAAAGAACATTATGGTGCCTATATTTAAAAACAAGGCCGATGTACAAAGTTATGGCAATAATTGTGCAATTAAAATTTTGAGCCACACTATGAAACTTTGGGAGAAAATAATTGAGAAAAGGTTACAACATGAAACACGTATATCAGAGAACCAATTTGGGTTTACGCTAAGTAGATAAACCATGGAAGCTATCTTTCTTTTAATACAATTGATAGAAAAAGTTAAGGGAAAAGAAGAAAGATCTTCATGTGGTGTTCATAGATCTAGAAAAAGCATATGATAGAGTCCCCAAAGAAATAATATTACAAGGATGTGTATGAAGGTGCAATAACCAATGTTGGAACACCTGTAGGAGAGACATAAGATTTCACAGTTACGATGTCTCTTCACCAAGGTTCAGTACTTGGTCCTTATTTATTTGCACTAAGCATATTTACGAGGAGGTCCCATGGTATTTGTTGTTTGCTGATGACATTGTATTAATTGATGAAACTAATGAAGGATTAAATGCAAAGTTAAGTTTGGATAAATTTTTTAGAAACAAGAGATTTTAAAAATAAGGCAAAAAAGAATACATACTATGTAAATAATTTAATAATAATAATAATTAATACATAAGTAGCTTAATACCGTACCTCACCTGTATCCATACGGGTTGTAAAATCCCAAAACCCATCCCTGCCCCAAAACCTATTTTTTCTAGCAAAAAAAAAAAAAAAACTGTCCATTGGGTGGATACCCACTGGGTAGGGTAGAAATTCCCATCCCTAGATACATTGCAATTTTTTGAACCTTGCACTAAATAATTAAGTAAAGTGCTGGGTGGTTTAAGCTGGTGTGCAGAGTTCATTGGTTTTGAGCTTTTGTCAATTGTTTGGGGTTGGTGAGTCTAAGGTTTGGGTGGGCAGGTTAGTTTGTGGTGAAAGTTTTGATTGTGCAGGTGAATTGTTGTCTATTTGAGTTTGGTTGGTATGTTCAGTATTTCTATTGGTTTGGTGTTTTTGCATTTTGGTGGATTTTGTGTGGGCTGAGATGTGGAGGGTTTGAACTGGTTATGTTTGGGTGAAGAGTTTTCTTTTATTCTTTCAAGTGATTTCTTGTCACCTTTCTTATAATCTTCTTTTTTCCTTTAACAAAATTTAATTTTACTACCCAAAAAAAAAAACTCATTTAAACGTGAATAAGTTTACAATATAATTTTGAAGCATATTCAGCAAGAAACAATTTAGGGGGTGTTCTTCAATGTGAATTGCTTTCTTGTTGTAAATTTCAGAAAAAAATAAAATAAAACCATTTGGCTTGAGAACAAATTGATTCTTAAAACCAAAAATAAAAAACAGAAAACATTTCTTGGTCATAATATGTGTTTTTTTATATTTCCAAACAGAAACCAAAAATGTGTTCTTGTGTTTATGGTTTAAAAAACATGTCTCATGTTTCATAAACCATATAATATCTACACACTCCAAATTTATTTTTGTTTCGAAAACCATTATTTCGATGATTTTTTGAAACAAAGCTCATCTGTTTTACTTCTCATATAATATCTGCACACACCAAATTTATTTTTGTTTCGAAAATCATTATTCCGATGGTTTTTTGAAACAAAGCTTATCTTGCTTCTCAAAACAAAAACAAAGTCCAATAACATGCTTCAATTTTGCTTGTGACAAAGAACAAATGAAAACAAAAAACATTTGTGTGTAGAACACCCCTTAATGGAAAGAAAGAAGTAAATAATAATATTAACTTGCAACATGCAAATCATTTCCTCTTAGTCAGTACTGACCTTCATAGTTGCTTGCAACGCTGCACGTATTGCATCCCTTTCTGCTTGCCTCACAATGACTGAGGTTCTTGTTGACTTTCTCACTACTCTCTCACCTTCTAGATCATCAGAAATGTGTTGCTGCTCAGGAAACTTAGGCTGCTGTTTCTGAGAAGATTTTTCATCTTTGGGTTCTTTTTCATCCTCGTCAGCCTTTTCTAGGTTAGAAAGAACCTTCTTTTTGTTTTTCTTCTTTGTCACAGGCTTTCCTGGAAATATTAAGCGCTTCTTCCTCTTCTCCCTGGAAGTGAACTCAAGAACTTAATAGTCACCTAAGTTGAAGATTTTTAAAAAAATGCTGGAGAAGCCAAACCTCTCATCTGCATCAACTTCCACTTCTTCATCTGGATCCGGTTCCTGATTTTACCAATATAGGGTGAGGTTTCCAAATATTCAGAAAGTCTTAATGACGACCTCCACGAGGTCAAAAAACAACTAAATGCTATTAATCAGAGAAACCTACAAATTAAGTCAACCAAAAATAACTCACATCATCATCAAAATCACTATCAAACTCATCAGCAACTTCTGCTTCTTCTTCATAATTTTCATCATTCGCTTCCTGGAAAAAGTCAAAAGCATAGGTTAGGAAAGAGAAACTAACTTCAATCTTAGCTACAAAAACCCCACATATATTATAAAACATTAACTTTAGTGTCAACAATAGAAATATGCTGCAAAAGCAGGACCATTAAGAAGATAGATATGGTATTCAACAAGTATAGACCAATTTCCTAGTTTTTTCATTAGAAACAGGTCAATCATGGGAGATGAGACAAATATGGGTCATGGATTCTATAGGTCCTCAAAGATAGTCAGTCTTACACACATGAACTCATTCCACTAGTGGAAAAGGAAACAAATATAGGGAACTACAGGAAGGCCTTTTTGTTCTAAATCATGAAGAAGTTAAAAGTGCATTTATAGGAAATCCCACTGCCACCATATCATGCCACTCCATGTCCATGGTTATTTACCTCCTTAAGAGAATCCTGATTCCAAAACAGCTCATCCTCTTCAATCTCCTCATCAAGCAACTTGGTCATCCTATTGAAGAAATAATTCAAGTTTAGTTTCAGAAGTACAGCCCTGATATAAGTGCACAATCAGATATATGAAAAAGAAGAAGGTTGAGCAACCAACAAGAAAGTAATCTAATCCATGATCAACTCATTGTGTGTATTGAGGATTGAATTGCATGAGCATGTTTTAAAAGCAACATGGAGGAATTGTCAAGCATTAAAGCAGTAGAGCGAAAAAAAAATTAAAAGAGAAGAGAAAGACCCTATTAGAAGCAGAATATAACTGATCTTACTCTTCTAGATTGAACAAGTTCTGACTAATTGTCGAATTAGAAGATCCCTTGTACAATTAAATGAAAGTAGCACAATCCCAGATTCAGGGGAGTAATTGGATGTGTCCAATTTACTATACACTTCTCAGTGTTTTAACAGCGCAAGGGAATAGGCGCGCCTTTTTGAAGCAAGGTGCAGAAGTGCAAAAAATGCTAAAAAATCAAGTAAGTGCCAAAAAATTAAAAAAAATGCAAAATATCAAAAGTATTAAACACAATAGTAATTAAAAATATAAACTTAAAATTTAAAATAAATATTTTAAACACCTATTATCTCAAATTAAAATATATAACATGTAAATCAAATTTAAAATAAAATTAAGCATAACATATAAAACATATTCCAGCACTCAACAAGGGTACCAAAACCAGGAACACCAAACCAAAAAGAAACTGCTGAGACTTGGAGATCTATATTACCAAATTAGAGAAGTAAGGAATAAATTTGTGTACATTAATTAATTCCAGAAAGATCCAAAATTTACTCCCAAACAACGTAGGCTAAGAGAAACAGAATAATCAAATTAAAATATTAAATAGCTTCCGGTATTCAAGCATGAATTCAGCCATTAAAACGAACAAACAACCATAACCAGATAACATTTTTAGACTCGAACGGTTTGAGCTTGTGTTTGAGACCTTTTTCCTCTAGTTATCCGAGAAGAACGTTCAAGGAGAACAGGCCCTTCATCATGGGAGGTAGAAGCCATGACTGAAAGCTCGATATTCGCTTCTCCTCCTCTGATCTCGCTGCTGCAACAGCAAGTACTCTGCTTCCGCTGTGTGCCTGTAATCTGGCAAAGGAGATTTCTTCGAGATTGTTTTCCTCTTCGGTTCTTCCCTCTAAGAACACAAAACATGAGGATTAAATTAAAGGGTTAAATACTTAAATACCCCCTACGTTTTAATAAATATACTAGTAAGGGGCGCCCGTGCTTGTTCCATGACTTAAGTATAAAAAAATTTAAGAAAATAAAACAAATTTCAATAATTGAATGATAGGTAATAAAATCACAATGTCCCAATGACCCTACTAAAACATTAAGGCCTTTCAATTTTCAACTTTCAACAATACCAACTGAAATAATAGCGATTAAAATTACATTACAGTGCTTCAACAGCACCCAGTTATTTTTGTTAAAATTAGTGAACTTCACTATTGTCATCTAGTTGCCACGGTGGCCCATGAAAAAGTCTTTCAAAGAAGCACTTCTCGATCAAATATACTGCCTTCCAACGAGAGGATTAAATAGTCATAAAATTGATGTCAAGGATATTGATCGTCCAAAAGCATTTGTAATTCTAATTTCTGAATTCTGCGTGTTAGAGAGAAACCAAGGACCAGGGAAGAGGAGGGAAAATGAAAGACAGGAAGTCCTTATAATCGGAAAAGAACAAAAGGAAAAAAATAAAATGAAAACAAAGATACGAAGTACGGGAGAAGCAGCAACTCAAGCATCAACAGAGTGGAATAAGAAAAAGGGGTGTAATCAGTGAAAAGGAAGAAGATGATGAGAGAGTCKCTTGTAATGGATTCTACCAAACAAAACCCTACATCAATGCCTCCCTATAATGGCAGCTTAAAATCATCCTCACCACCACTTCCCTTGGTGATTTCTCTCAACTATCTTGAGGACTGTAGCTTCGAACAGGAAACCCTCTCAACCGTCTTGCCGACAGTTGGATCGAGGCTACAGTCGTCGTTCTCCTCCATTCCCTTGCCTTCCTCCCACGCGCCACACAACGCCGCCTCTAGCCATGGCAACTCATTCTTTGCCTTGGCTCCCTAGATTACCCGTTGACTCTGGCCTCGCCTCACCCATTCCGTATTCCCCCCTGTAACAAAGGTGAAACACCGCATCAGTCCAATAAGCTATTATGGATGCTTTGCAAGTGAAAGAAAGAATAAAGATAGAAAGAGGTGGAAGAGAGTGAGAGAGAGAGGGGGTTTCAAAGCGAATATCATCCCCCTCTTCATCAATATGTTGCTCTAAGGAGTTTGGTCAAGTTCTTCTTGATGGAAGCTCCTTTGGTTGACTGTTCTTACACTCAAACCTTCGCCCAATTGAACTGTAGACAAAAAATCTTTGTCGTAGATGAAGAAACCCCATGTGTTTGAGAACAATCAATGTAATTGTTCATTCCCTTCTAACTCCTACTTTTCAGGTGCAGAGTTTCATTGGCTTGCAAGTTTTGCTTTCTCATCTAACTTTACACTTTCTACGAGTCATCTCGTTCGTTTATTGCTAAATCAGGGAATGAGAGAGGAAAAGAGAGACAGAGAGAGGTGGAAGATGGACAGCGAGAATGGGAAGATGAATAGGGAGAGTGGAAGAAGGGTCGAAGAAGAAAAGACCAAAAGAGAGAAGTGGTCAAAAGGAGAGAGAGTATTGACACTTGTATCTCATGCAATGAAAAAATATATATTTTTTTCATTGAGATTGTTCACATGTGCAAGTCGTTGATCTAAAGCGAACTACAGTATTATAACAATAAGATTCCAAATAACGAAAGGGGAAAGCACCCCTTTCGCTTGAATATATATATATATATATATACTAGTAACTAAGCACATGCGTTGCACGTGATAATTTTTTCTTTATATTAATTACTTGAATTTTAGATATATCATAATTAAGATAGAAGTTGAAAATTAACAAATATGATTAAAAATAAACTTAAATATTTATTATTCAATCATGACATCATGAATTTCTTTGAAAAGTTGGATCACTAACCCACCATTTAGATAAGAAAATAGCTTAACTTTTGGATTAGTTTTAAATTAGGGAAAATTATAATCGGAGTTGGCAGTACATTTAAAATTAGGTTACAAATTGGTTCATAAACCAACAAAACTCAGACAAGCGGTTCTACATTTCAAATTATAAAAACCCTTGTAGTGTCATCGGAGGCTTATGTGGTTGTTGCCAACATGGGACTCTTAATTAGACCTATTCATGGGTCAGGTAGCCCAATAAGCTGGCTTGGACTGGCCCGATCTAAGTTGGGTTCAACAAGATTTCCTACCTATGGGCTCGGGCTCGGGCTCGGGCCTGACTTTTTCAGGCCAGGCTCGGGCTTTATGAAAAAAGCCCGGCCTGAGTCCGATCCTGACTTGATAATGTATTATATAATAAAAAAAACATATATAATACATTTTTTCTTTATTTTTCTTATCTTTTTTCAAGTAATAATGAGATATTTACACCAACTAGAGAACGATAAAGATTAAGGGAGAATGAGATATTGATCGAGAGGGAGAGTGAGGAAGAAGAATGTGAATGATTGAGGGAGAACAATAGAGAGAGAGAGAGAGGCTTTTGTTTTGGCTACAGACCAAAGCTTAGAGAGTGGGGGAGATAAAGGGAGTAGGAGATCGAGAAATGACTGTGAGAGTGAGAGAGAAGGGAAGGAGATAGAGAGACGGAGGGAGTGGGAGTGAAACTGAAAACCCATTTTTGGTATAGGTATTTTTCTATGTCCAACGAGGTTTTTAAAACCGATTGGACAACAAACCGGTCTGGGGTCCGGTTCTTGGGTCGAACGATTTGATCGTTCGAACCAAACAGATGACATGTTCTGACAAAAAAAATAAAAAATTCTAAAAAAATAAAAACCGGCCAAACCGTTTAGCTGTTCGAATAGTTAGACTACTCGGGTCAGCGGTTTGCTAACCAAATCAATGGTTTTGGGAGAAATAACAATTATGGGGTAAAATAGAACCGATCACCCTGGTTTTTCCGGTCTGGTTTTGAAAACCATGGTGTCCAACATGGACTAAGAGTCCCATGTTGGCAACAACCACATAAGCCTTCGATGACATGGCAAGGAATTTTATAATTTGAAATGTAGAGCCGGTTGTTAGAGTTTTGTTGGTTTCTAGACCAACCTGCATCATAATTTTAAATATTTAACTGACTTTGACTATAACTTTTCCTTTACATTATGTATTTTCTTAATACACTTAATTTTTGTTTGTCTATGGTATAATTTGACTCAAACCACTAACCCACCATCTAAAAATAAAAATTGTTTGATTTCTATGTTGACATTAAATTTTGTATTATATTTTTGTCATTGATCAAATTATTTCTTATATATAAAACTTTTTTTGTTCAATATAATGAATGCGGAATATTAGAGATGTACCCGATATTTTATTTTTTTATAAATATATAACATTATATATGTGCCCAAAATTTTCTCTATCTTTTTTTTTTAATTTTTGTGATTCTTTGTATTTTCTATTATTAAAAATTTTATTATTTGACTATGACATCATTTCATTTCTAGGTAGATTTTGAAATTGGCATTCCATTTTCGTCATTAATAAAAATACTTCTTACATTTCATAATTATTTATTTTTATTTAATTATGACATTATTTATTAATCCATTTGACCCCAAATGGTCGAATTGCTTACCCACCACTGAGAGGGAAGAAAATGGTATTGTTTTCAAATTACTTTTCAAAATATTTTTTTTATACTATTAAAATTAATATTGTAGATTTAATTATAAGAATTTAATGATGAGAAAAATATATCTTAAATATAGGATTTAATGAGAGAGAATAGGAAAATATTTTTATTTGCAATTGGTTTTAAATTTTACATTCCATTTCCATTATTAATAAAAATATTTCTTATTTATCATACTTATTATTGTTTAATATGCATGTTAAAAATGTTCCCATTTTTTTTAATTTATACTTGTTCATTTTATTATTGTTTAATTTTTTTGGCTTACACCTGGCGGTTGCACTTAACTTAGAGAAGATAATGGTGGAATCAGACTCTAAACTTCTTATTGATATTTTCAAATAGTACTTGTACAACCCCTTGGAAACTTTGGTTTTGGTTGTCTCAGGTTAAGGAGCTTAGAAATAAATTGGATTTTTTGAAAATTCATTGATTTTAGGTTGCCTGGACACTTCACGTCCCCCCTCAACGGTTTTCTACATATTAATAAAGTTTCGGTGGCCACCCCTCCATCGTGAGTAAATTTTGGGGCTAAAAATTTTTTTTATCTATTTTCTAATTTTATTATTTAATCGTGGCAACATGATTAACCCATTTGACCCAAATTAACGACTTAATTTCTTACCACCACCTAGATGAAAACACTATTTTTACTAGGTAGATTTTAGAAGTATAAGTTTTTATGTTATTGAAATTATTAATTTATTAAGTATGGATTTAATTAATAGAACTTAATGATGAGAAGAAACAAAAATGACTTAAATATATGATTCAATGAACATGAACACAAGTTAATAATTTGAATATTGGATTTAGTGAGAAAGAATTAAATGCATTGAATATCTTTAAATTACCTATTTTCAACTCATTTAATATCAAGAACCAATTATCCTATTTGTCCTCATTTTTTATCAATAAATTTAAATTTAGACGGATAAATTTTGTCCTTAGAAAGTTAGAGAAATATTCTTGAGGCCATTCCTATTTTTTAAAATAATATAGATATATAAGATAAAAATTTACCCTAAATTACTCATAAGTTTTTTTTTTCACAATACACAATCCTTTCCTACCATTAATATACCATTAGGCTTAACGCACCATCACAAATGTTATAGATAAAAGAATCTTAGATGAGCTCACATAATCTGAATCAACGTTGCATTAATTTTCCTGCAACCACGAATCAAAAAGGGCCACATCATTCTCCCTTATTTAATTACAATTTAACGGGAGCCCAAACCGTTAACGGGAGTCTATATTCCAAAAAAATTAAAATTATTTTTATCCTGCCTTGCCTCCCAATATTTCGTTTTGTTTTTCCCCTTCTCTTTCTCTCCTTTCTTCTCTCTCCTTTCGGCAAAGCCCTCCTTCATTCTCCATCAAATGTGGTCGCCACCGCCCTCCCTCAGCTAACAGACTTGAATTGAAGAAGTCAGGAAAATTTGTTGATGGAGGTGATATTTCTAATGATATGTATATTTTCAGCCACTGTGTTGAATGCCTTGTACAGAAGTGGAATGATGAGTTCAAGGAACTCTGGGAAAATTGTTAGAGAATTGGACCCTTAATGGGGAACGAGGAACTTGGGGAAAAGTTTAATTAACTCCTTAAGTAATAAATAAATTGGCGACAATTAACAAAGAGGGTCTTCGTACCTAGCTGTAGGTTATGCAAAAGATACGAAGGGTGGTCTTTCTACTTTTTTTGGCCGATTTAGAATCTACTGTGAAATCAGAAGATACAGAGGAGGGGGAATAGTTTAGACAACGGAATATTTGGGTTGAAAGAGAACGAAGGAGGGAGAGAGAGAGTGAAGTGGGTCAGATCATTCTCAAGTTCAGGTATGTAGATATGGGACCCTAATCCTATTTTTTTGGATTGGATTAAGTCGGGTTGCAGGTTGAGTTAACTTTTTGCCAGGTCTAACAGATAATCAATTTCTCAAGCTCATATAAGCCTATCTTTGTCTCTCAAAATTTTTAACCTAACACTACTTCATAGCCATATGGGACACAACTTCTGGTGTTCAAGCAAGACCCCACATAGAAACACTACTGTGTCTGGTGAAAATTCGGAAAGCCAGCATAGGCTTTCCAAATGCTAAAACTGTGATTATGAATCTACTTTAAATAGCTTTTCTAGAACACTACTGTTCAATTAAGCGTCTGTTTGGCATCCTTGCCACTGCTCCAGAAAATGACACCACATCAAAAAAGCGATGTTTTAGAAAACGAGCATTTATTTAAAACCATTTTTTCATATAAAAAAATACTCCACCCATGTCTCAGAAATCGGAAACACATAACTTAGAGCAACAATAAATCGGAAACACATAACTTAGCCAATAAAACAATGGTGTAACAGTGATGTAATACTGACTAATGAGTACTAATACTGAAAACTTTTCCTAGTACCAAACAGGCAGCAACAATTGCAAACAAAAGAAATATGGTTTTCTCAAAAAACGGTTCTTCCAACTAAATTAATGCAACCCATCGCAAACGCATAAGCCGTCCATGACGGGGCGGCCGTAGAAGCAACTTTTACTATACGCCAAAAGAGCTCTCTGGCTTAATTAAATTTTCCACGGCATTCTCGACAACAAAAGCATATACAAACAGGGTCCTAGATATTGTTGGATACCTTGGCTCTAGAGACATGGTAGTTCCCATGAAACGGAAAATTCATGAGAGGCATAGGTTCTGTTAGACGAGGTATATTATGTAACAGTTACGTAAACACGTTGTTTACTATATTTCCTCAATGAATTAATTAAATTGTATTATGTTTGTTGTCTTGGGAGGGCTAGACTGGATAAGGACATAAGGTCGTAACCTCTAAAGACTAAAATCTTTTTGGAACCTTAGTCTGAAACTACAAACTAAATAGAAAATCTATTAACTTTTATTGTTCATAATTCTTTAACATACACTGTTCAAAGGGTTTTGGGCTTCCAAATCACCACAAGGGTCTTCATTCCCTTCTTTTTATCCAAATGAAGCCATCATAGTCTCCCCCAATTTTGTTTCTGTGGCTACTACTCGGTCGCCTTCCCCTTGCGCCGGCTACTATTGTCTGTCTCAAGTAGGTAGCAAATGATTGAATCAACATCATCGCCAAATATGCTGTAAGCCTCTATCACCTGCAAGTAGCTAAATCCCATTGACAGGACCATCTGCATACTGCTATTCAAGACAGTAGCAGACAGACCTCTCTCCCTAGCACCATCCAGCTTGGATTCACTGCGTGACGGCCCTGTCACTGAGTGTAAATGTGTATCAGTTGTAAGAAAAAAATGCATCACTAGAAAGCCGCAACATCAAGTGAGATAAACAAATATCATTTTTGAAGCACATTTAACCCAACAGGGACTCGTCCCTTAGAAATTTCAGTTTGCAATGAAAGTTGTGACGGAGCAAACATTGGATGTCATGGTACGCAAGTATGGTTCATTCGCATTTATAACCCCCCCAAAAAAAGATGAAATAAAATGGTACTTACTGGCCCCAGAAGATGATGGCTCAGCACTAGAAGAAGATTCTCTATAGCCAAGCTGCTGCTTGAATCGGTCATCAGCAAGATATTCAGCACGAGAGGCTTCCATCACCATGCGCTCTATCTCCTTCTCAGTAAGCTCAAGATCAGAGTAGAACCTTCCTTCAGCTATAAGTGCCTGTTAGTATGCAACATTTTACAGAACAAAGTTTTGTTACTTGCTGTACCAAAGAGGTGTTTGTGGAAGTTATGTCGAAATAACCACTTCAGCCCCAAATCCCACTTTTGCATTTAAGTTTACCCCAAACAACATGATACTTTTGAAGTTTGAAGATTCAAGTAGTACATTTTAAGATGAATGCACATTCTTCCAAGATTTTAGTATAACTGAATTTATTTTTTGGTATCGACACTCATCCAATGACTTCAACATAGATTATCAATCCATGGCTTCATTTTTGTTAATTTTCATAAATGACAATAGGAAAAGCACTAACATTTTCAATCTGTTGGTCTTGTTGAGCTCTGATAGCATCCTTCACCTGATCCTTATCAATATTAGCCTACAATGCAGGCAATATACAGGAGTATAAGTTAGTTGTAACCATCAGAAAGATAATATAACAAAGCAATGAGGCCTAGTGAAAGAACAAAGGAAGGTCAGCATAGTGGCTCACCCCTCGTAGACTGCTCAATCCAAGGCCTGCACCAATGGTTAATCGACGTGGATCAACAAGTGAATTGTAATGATTTCCGTGATGATAACTTAGTCGTATGGGTGGCATATCCGTATTGTAGCTTCCATGAAAAATGTTGATAGGCTCTACATTAATAGAATGGTTAGAATATTGCACTACAAACTGTTTCCTGAGGCATTAATGTAACCATTCATCTTTAATGGAATAGTACCTGTACTGTAGGAATAGATATGGATGGGGCGATTATACATTTCAGATAAAGCCTGAATCTCCACATTGTTTCCATAGACCTATCACAGGAACGAGAGAGGAGGAAATCATTACAAGAAAAGGACAAAAAAATGGGATAAAACAAAAACATTGCCAATGACATACCACAAGAAAAGAATAGCAAACACACATTTGTTTTTCCTGGGGAAAATTATTAGTAGGTCAAGTGAAACCCCTAGGGAAAACTATTAATAGATAACAAATGAAATCAGGGTGGTTATAGTTGAAACACTTTTTGTCAGTAACTAAACCATATTTTCAGGGATTTCTTGCCTTTCAATTGATATTTGCCCCTTAACAGTTTACCCCCTTTTGCTTAGCTTCCATGTTTCACTCTGATAGTGTCATCCATGATTGATGCAGAGGAAATGAATGAATTTCAACACTATTAAATGAAACAGATAGAATATAGCCCATATCATGCCACACCACATATTCTACTAGATTCCACAGGGCCTGTTCATGTACAGCATGATTCAAGTCCGATGATTCTTTTAAAAATCAAGGATACAAACATCAAAATAGGTCATAAAACAATGTTTCAAAGCATCTCTTTTAATCTTTCTAGAAATGAAACATGTTCAATCTTCAAGTGAAACTAATCTATCAAAAAAAAAAAAATCTTCAAGTGAAACTTCTATTACACTTCAACTTGCAGGACTTTTATGCCAAGTTCCCCCAAGTCAAAAATGATTCATCAAGTACTTTGATTGTCTGTTACCAAATGACAACAAAGCAAACATTTTGGCATTCAAGCATATTTCTCAAGGCATTGCCTAAGGCAACAAGGCACCATGGCGGTTACACACACACACACACACACCCCATCGAAGGCTTTTTGGAAAGAGTAGGAAAAAGACAAAAAAAAAGGAGAAAGACAAAAGAGGAGGGCCTTGCCCTTTTTTCCTTTCATTTTTTTTCTACAATCTCTCTCCGCGCCATGGTTTGTTTTTAGTTAATCTCTCTAAAATCTTTCTGTTAGTAAAAAAAATTATAGCCTTCTTTAGTTGCTCATAACATGACATACGATTGCATGATAAAATACTTGTTATACTCTAATATTGTGTTTGAAACATTGAAAATAGTTGATCTGAAGTGCTATTTTTTATCAACAACTCATCTTTCATTAGAAATTAATTACAGAAAAATGGAGATAAAATCTCTCAACTCCCCAACCTATAAACAAAACAGAAGAACTATCATCTTTCTAATGTGATGATTTACCATGTTTCTTATGAAACTCACTATTATTTATCAAACAGTTTTGCTACTATGCAATTTTGGAATAAACTAGGGAATTAACCTAGAAATTAGGTTTCTTCTGTCAAAAACTTGCAGTGCCTAGGTGCTCTATTGACGTCTCAAAATCATCCATATGCCTTGACAACTACGTGCTTGAGAGTTGAGATGGAAATGACCTTTCTGCCATCAACAAGTGTACCAGTTTCACAACAAATATCAAAATGAGAATGATTAAATAAATAAATCCTCCATTTGTATCTCAGACTGCCCAAGGGTTGAGCAAACAAGCTAGATGAATCAGTACCTTGTCCCTCCTCTTCCTCTTACAGTAAGATGTGAAACCTTCTGTTACAAATTGAGAGAAGTGATCCCTCTCCCTCTCCTGAATAAAGAGAAAGGATAATCAGGACTCACCTTCAAAACATCAACAACAAAACCAAAATACCAAAATATAACTAGTTTTCCCATGCATCCAAATGAAACCGAGAGTGAGAGCACTTTAAAAGTTCAAAGATACATGATAGAAAAAATTTTAAAAAAAGTAAGTGATTGATCAATTTGCAACGAAACAATTTAGCCAAAAAACAAAAAACAATTTGCAACCAAATAATATGAGAAAGCTCCAAAATTAACACTCGTACTTTTTTTTTTGAGAAACTAAACAGGGCTAATGAGTTATTAGAGCATTGAGTAACCATAAAAATCACTGCCAGAGTACCACTAACACTTAAAGATTAAAAATCAAATCCATTATGAATAGATACAGGAAAGGTGCTCAAACAGAGAGCACACTTATTCTTGCACTGTCCAGACCAAAGAATAGAATATTTAATCTCTTGACACTTCATCTTAACTGGATTTCGTAATTGTTGTTTATTGCTTCCTATTTACCTATTTTAACTTTGTGGTTTTATAACTATTTAAATACATAATTCTATTAATGCCCTATGTAAACTTTGAGCACCTTTTCTTATCTAAAGTGTTAGTGGTGCTTAGGTCTGGAGAGTGCAAGAATTAGATGCAGCAAATAATCTATATCGCCTTCACCCATCCAAACAGAAGGAGAAAATATAACAACATAGATATACAAAATTTTTACATGTGAAGATAAGTATACCATATAATCAATGCACATTTGCCTAGTCAAATCATAAGCTTCAGTGTCCCCATATACTTGATCTGCAACAGCACGAAAAAGGCAATTTCCATCTTCCATCATTCGTTTAACTTCTAAACCCTTGGCCCGTCGAATATCAATCTCAAACTGGCGTTCTCTTTCCTGCAATAAGCACAACATGTTGATGTTTACTGGAACTTGTAATAATACAGTTATTTTAACCATAAAAAGTAATGATTCAAATTGTTGTTTTTCTTTGATGAATAGTAATGATTCAAAATGTTAAGCAATTTGTTGTAGCCCCATTGAAAGGTAGCTTGTTATACATGGGCAGCACTTGTACATTTATCACACTTTTTTTATGAATAGTAAGTAGTATCCCTCCCCACAAAAGGGTCAAAGTTCTTCAGTTTATAGCTGCTTTAGACAAATCAAAGGTTGAATTTAGTTTATAGCTACTTTTTGGTAGGAGTGCAAGTTGGGTGGGATGGGCCAGGTTTAAGGTCAACGCAGGCCCAACTGAAATTTGACACACTCAGGTTGAATTCAAGCTTGGGCTGGGCTCGGGTTGGACAATTACACTTAGGCAGGCCTATTATGCTCAATGTATTAAGAAGTTGCATGAACCTATTAAACTCATACATAACATATGTATGCATGCAGTTGGGCTGGGCTCAGGCTACCAACAGATAGGCCCAGCCCAGCCCATATAAAATTGCAGGTTGGGTTGGTCTGGGCTCAGGTTGGGCCTGCCCAAGTTGCACCCCTACTTTTTGGCTTCTGAGTTCTGATGTGATAAGAAGTATAAGATTCTATTACAGAACATTCTATAATATACTAAGATAGCAAAAAAAGTCAATCTGCAMAACTAAAAAGTCATTGACACTAACTATAATAAAAGGACAGCCCAGTGCACGAGGCTCCCGCTAAAAAAATTACCATCAAAATTCAGTTTTAGAACAATGATGCAACTCAGAGACAGAGACAATGCAATATTTGTTATATACATCATAACATAAAGAATAAGAAAAAAATGTTTACACATTGGAGAAGTAAAAGGAAAATGTGGGGTGAAGGTCCTTCTCATAAAGGTCCTTGATGCATTTCTCATTTTGAACAAAGGATAGGAATATGGGGCAGAACCCCTATTTTCAAACAATAAAAGAAAGAGCAAATAAGGAAGAAGAGAAGCTAAAAAAATCAACACGACTGCTCAGCAATATGTATACCCCACATTAAATAACAAGAAAGTTTAAAATGAGGCCTGAAGTGTCTTTAAATATTTTAAATACAATTCACGTTAAACTGCCAAATTGGACTTCAAATCCCAATTTATGATTCAGCTCAACAATTGGTTCATAAATTGTACAATAAATCAATAATTCCAAAATATGATTTGATCTAGTATTTGAATCATTTTATCTGCAACTCAATTTGAATCCTAAATTATAGGATTCTCAAAACATTGGTTATTATGTTACACCCATAGTTACCCAATTCATTAACTCATTGAATTCAAATTTAGGGTTGTGATCAATTCATCATTTTTATTACTCATGCAGAGAATTTTGTTTTCTAGTTATAGGCAGATGCTCCACTTCTATGTATTGTACTTCTGTTGGTGGATGGAAATATCTTGGTGAAGCAAGATCTGTTGTGGCTCAATCTAGTGCAAAGGCTGAGTACAGAACCATGAGCCATGGTGTCTCAAAGATGCTTTGGGTTTAATCACTATTGGATGAGTTGGGAACCGAGTATGATAGCCTAATGATGTTGTACTGTGGTAACCAAGATCAATTAATTGCATACAACCTAATTCAGCATGATAGGAGTGAGCACATAGAGGTGAACATGCATTTTATCAGGGATTGGGTGCTGTCCTGAGAAGTGTGCCTTCCTTTTGTAGCATTAAGAATCGATTAGCATATATCTTTATAAAAAGTGTCAAATCTAAGCTGAATTATAATGCAAGTAAGCTGGGCATGATTGACATAGGGAAGAAGAAATGGATATGGGCGGGATCTACCATTACATTGAAATCAGTTAACTTTTTTGTGTTTTTGTTGCTGTTTATAGAAAAGGTATTTATGCAACTTGATTTATTAGTTGGAGAGTCATAAATTCTAATGAAAAGGAGCACACACCCACATGGTTTTTCTTTGTCTCCAAGGTTGTCTTTGGAATCGCTGCTGATTCTACAATGAAACATTTTGAGTTGATCAAAGATCAATACAAATTGGTGAGAAATCTTTTGTTGCATCAAATACGAGTCACTTCAACTAGAAAAATGTATGTGTGGGATTGATCATTGATGTTTATAGTTGAAACAATAAATTTGACGCTTCAGGCAGAAACAACAATTTGTATTGATCAACCCAAAACATTTCAGGTAGGAAAAAAATCTCCCTCACAAACTTGTATTGATCAACCAAAAGAGTTTCAGGTAGAAACAGCAATGGTACCAAATACAACCCAAATCAGTCTTCTTCCTGTCTTCTTTCTTCTATTCTCCTCACGACAAGTTCTTTCTGTTTTTCTTTATGATTTCAGTGATCGTAATCATGGAGTGGTTCAAAACTGTTTTATGACCAACTAAGATTTGTAGGGAAGATCGTCTATGCTTTCAACCCCCTTATGATATCATTCACTGAGAAAGAACGACAATATATGCATCAATTTTTCCTCTCACAATGATCAAAGGGTGGCGGTCCTTGTATATCTCCAAATATCTTTCTTCTTCTTGTAGGTGGGGAATAAAGATTCCTTGAAAAGACTTTCTTTGTCCCTTGGAGGTGCTCACCTACTCCAAAAATATTCTCCCAAATGCAATTTTGGAAACAAAGGTTAGTGTATATGCAACTACCACTGGGTAAATATGTTCCAATAAGTGAAAGGGAATTAGATTCATGGTAGGAGATGGCACTAAATTACATTTCTGATTAGATCCTTGATGTGGGGAGAGAGCTTTGAAAGGCATGTATCCGACTCTATTTAATGTACCTGAGAACAAAATGGTGTGGGTAGCTGAATCCTATGTGGCAGATGAGAACAGAGTCATATGGGCTCCTCCTTTTAGAAGGTGTTTCAATGATTGGGAATTGGATTTAGTGGCTGAGCTTCTTGCTATGCTCCAAAATCAGCACTTAAACCTGCAAGCCCAAGATTCTAGATACCAGAAGCAGACACACTTGGGATTTCTGAGTTAAATCTTTCTACAAAGGCAATGTTGGGGAGGCAGGTGAATTCTTCCCAATCAAGGCAAAAGTAAAGTCTTTTATGTAGGTGGCAACTTGGGAGATGTGTCTTACAAATATATGCTGCTGAAGAAGGATTTCATTACTCCATAGTCCATACCTGCTTTGTGTGCTTTGTAGAAGAGGGGAAAAAGTTTAAATCACTTTTTTTGCACTGTTGTTTTAGGGCCTTAGTTTGGCACCACTTTATAAGGGCTTTAAACCTGCAGTGGTGCTTCCAGCTTCCCTAGTTCAGTGAAGCAGCTTGCAGAAGAATGGCAAGTTGTGGGTATGACCACGAAAAGGAAGGTCTGCTGGTCATCTGTTCCAGCAGCAGCTATGTGGGCTATCTGTTATGAAAGGAATAACCAAATAACAGATTTTTTTTAGCAGAATTCAAGTACAGAATCGGGAGCGATCCATGATCAATTTTGGCAGTAGAATTCCTAGATGTCTGTTCACATTTTATTTAAGGATGATATCTTTTCTGCTTCTTTTTTGGGGTCCTTAAGAGTTATTAGATTCAGCCACTCACAGATTGACTATACCTTATTTACAAAGAGAAATGGTCAGTTATTTGTTGTACTAATATATACAAGGGTGGTTTTTTTTTTGAAGAAGGTAAATATTGTTGGCATTAAAAACAATGTGTATAATTTGTGAAGCGATTTCTAGATACAAATTTTGAAATCAAAGATCTAGGTGGTCTTAGATTATTTCAATGACATAAAAGTAGCTTCATTTAAAAGAGGCATTTTCACATCTTAGAGGAAGCATGCCGTGTATTAGAAAAGTGCTGAATAAGTGAGCAGTTAAGCCAACTGAAATCCCGTGTAGTTCAGAATGTAAGAGGCATAAGCCTCCTGAACACACGGAGGTTTATGCCTCCTTAAGAGGAGGGGGGGTGAGGAGGAAGGGGAAGAAGAGGAAGGAGGATCTCATTTTTCTTTATTTTTAATAAAAATCTTTTATATTAAAAAGAATGAAGATGAATAACACTAGTTGATAGGGGGGGGGGAGATCTTTATTCCAATAATTGTAAAGGTTCTCTTAGTAAAGGAATTCTTAATTCCATAATTGTAAACTATAGATTGAATCTATACAAATGCAGAATGGGCTGGACCTTTTGACAACAAACATTTGTTATTGTGCATTTGTCAGTTGGAAATTTAGGTTATTTTTAGTTGACATTCTGCTCCAAAAAAATCACTTTTTAAAGAATAAATTTGGGGTTAAAAACGATTCTTTGTGAAGCTAATCCAAAGAATAAATTTAGAGAAAGGATACTGCAGTCAGAACTTAGAACTTAGCAGACAGAGGACGTATAGTTAAAACTTAGAAGATAAAGGTGGCTAGGGTAGAGTCTGAATTAGAACTTTAGGCCTCAACATCTTCTTAACATTTTAAATTAATTCATTAAACAAGCAATAAGTTTCTTATTCTCTCTCAGGGTAAAATATGGAAGATTTGTGCAAAAGTTATAAGACTCCGCCAAAAGAGTAGGAAGGATGGGATAGACTGGGAAGGTTACAACTTCTCACATTGTTCTATGTATGTCACCTCTGAAATTAAGAATGCATGTAACATGGAAATGCTCTCACTATAACCGTTAGAAACCTAGTGATCACCGTCCTTGAGGAATGTTGAGGGGGGCCCAATGAATCCTGATTTATTATCTTCATATCTCCCAGTAATTGGCCAGGCAATGCCTCACTAAGAAGGAAAAAACACCTAGGTGTTGTATAGCTACATTGACTGTAATTGCTTCATAAAGGCAGATACAAAGATATGCATCCAACCACCCATCCATATGCACAGACAACAAAGAAAAAAGACGGCAGAAATGGACTTAAAAGATTCATCTTGAAAAGAAAAACCAAAGAAGGCAAGCGTTTTAGTTTTCCAAGTAAACATAAACAAAACTTAACAGGACTTTATTGAGGAAGCAAAGCCAGCAACTAGAGCAACACAATGTGCTCCAACTGTTTGGTAAATGAGCTAATAAGTTCAAGCTACCAAGAAGGAATTAACAAATAGGAGAGAAAAGCAAGATCAGGGATCAAATTCAACACCTAACACTTATTGGAAAACCACTAACTAGGTTGTTAGCAACCAGAACTTACTGCATCACCATAGGAGGATCCAAAAGATGGGTTCTGCTCATCTGCACTATTGTAGCCTTCCCCTTCACCGTAAGACCTGGGAGAAGAAGGCCGAGAATCTGATGGTGAGGTCCGAGTCGAAACAACAGGCCAAGCCACTGCTCTTCTAGAAGAACCGATTCGCACAGTATTTGAACCCCCTGAAACAGTTCTCCTGGGAGCTGAGTTTGCTACTGAGGGTTTTGGAGGCGGAACCGGAGGGGGAGGAGGATATGTACCACCAGCAACAATCTGCAAGGAACCACCACTTGAGCCTTCATTATCATCCAAATCAGGCTTTTCTGTAATCTGCAGCCCATTCAACTCATTTACCACGGCACCGAAATCCACAGCGTCTTCATTACTGTTTTTCTCTTCAACAAGTTCATCAGACACGTTTTCGTTTTGAACAACCCGAACGTTCTCAGGCAGAATTTCATCATTTTTTATCGTCCTATTATCATCTCCACTACCACAATGCTCCAGAAAATCATCTGAACCTCCTGGGTCTTGTACCACCTCCTCGTGTTCCTCTTCCTTCAATGCAGAAGGAAGCTGAGGTGCGAACTGCTGCTGAGTTGGAGCCGAAGAAGAACCAGGCAATGAAGAGCGGCTTGGGTTCGATGAAGAACCACCGGAACCTCGCTGAACCAATATACGAGTCATATTTCTCCTTTAAGTTTAATTATCAAAGCCACCCTCGCTGCCCTGTCTCGCTCCGGAACTTAGAGCCCCAAATTCCTACTGTGCAGTTTATCACGCGTCCTTGCCTTTGGCACGGTGACGCCAATTCCTTGGCTGAAGGATTTTTTCCAGCCCAGCAGTGCCTGTTGCTCCTCCCGAATCGATCTCTGCATCCCCCTAACAATTCTCATGAGACCGGGACCTCTAACTGAAACAACAAAACCCCTCTAGAAACTGAAATTTTACCAGAAAACACCTTCCTTTTCAGCACCTCGGACTCGAATTCACCTCCGCAAACCTCAGCAGATATCAAAATCATCAATTTCCATGAACCACGAGACCCCAGAACCCAGACAAAACCTCATTAATCTACCTGCCCAAAATCCCATAGCATCAATCACCAGAATCAATTCAAAAAGGAAAAAAAGCACAAAAAATCCTTTACATTAACCCAGGTAAACCCATCAGAGAGATAAAATAGAATGAAGTGAAATTCGAAAAAAAAGTGAGGAAAAGATTCAACAGACTAACCTGGTCGAGTCCCAAAGCGTCTGAGATCTGCAGAAGATGTTCACTCACAGTTTGATTAATTCAGACCAAGTACAGGATTCGAACTGAAAATTCTAGGGTTTATGAAAAGAAACGGACACACGAACACACGAACACAAAAAACGAGAAAACGTAAAGAAGAAGAATAGTATTTTTTCTTCTTGACGCAGAGAGAGAGAGAGGCCGAGACAGGAAATGAGAGGCTGCCTTTTATTGTGGGGGAGACGCACTGCCCCGTGACCAGGATTTCGCCAGAGACGGCTCGTCGATGGTGGAACGTACACGCGTCACTTCACAAAACGATCACATGGACGCAGGAAGGAAAAGCGTGGCCTCTTTGTAGCGATCTGATGGTTTTAAATTCCCGATTTTGTCATCTGGAATCACAGTAATTTCCAAGTCCCAAAGCAAGAAGAATCTGAGCAGTGCTGCTGTGGGCTAGGGCCGTGGAGACAGACCTCTTCCTTGTTTGACTTGCACGTTTCAACCTTCCAGTTTTTGCTTTGTGTATAAGTATTCTCTGGAAACTCTATTGGTCTATTCTGAGATAGACCTGGGTCCATTGCCAAACACCCCCTCCCATGTATCTAAGGAATATTCTTAACTGAGACGGTGAGATCAGTGAAGAAGGTTATGTTTATTCATGTGTGATGGAAATAGTCTGGGCCGGGCCCTAATTTGGGTTGCTTAAGCCCTGCTAGCAAGTAGCAACCAACTGGAAAAAAGCTCAAACCAGAACTGGGCTATCCATCCAAGCAACCAAACACACCCATTTGCTTCAATGTTTTTAAACCGCACTGAATTGGTTGATTGAACCGGTTGATCCATCACCTGGCCATGTTTCTGGATTCGTTTCATCGCCAGGGCTGTAACTTGAGCGCGCCCAACCCAAGCCCGAGTCAGACTCGAATCGTGTTGGGTTAAACTCGGGTATGGCTTGGCTTATCGGATTCATAACTATTATGATTTGTACTTTTACTTAATCCAAAGTTTACACATTTTCCCATTTGCAGCCATTGATAGTACAAACTTTGTATCTAAGGCTGTGTTTGTTTTAGTATAAATATGGACTGATGTGAAACTCCACCCCTAGTCCATATTTATTGGTGTTTGAATGGAATGTAGTTTTACATGTAAATTTCACTTATGGTAGAGTTTTGCATTGATAATCAATATAAATATTTACATCAATAATCACATTTTTCAAAGTTACAACAGTTCACTCATTTAAACCAATCAGTGTTGAGCTCCATCGATAAATATTTACATCCAAAACAAATACAGCGTAAGGCTCAATTTGGGAAGAGTACAATTATAAAGTACACTGTATTTTCTAAACCTTGTTTTGCAATAATATGTTTTTGTATTTGTACCCTTTATAAATTGAGCCTTGATGAAGTGATGTAAAATTTGCATCACTTTCTTCCTACCCTAATTCTCTCTTATATAAATTGGGTATCACATCAATTTGCTTCCTATTCTTGTTCCTTCCAAATAAATGACCTTCCTCCAGCCATAAATCTCTTTCATATAAAGTGGAAATATTATTTTACTTCTCACAAACAAACAAAACAAAATTAAATCAAGATTTACACTCCCATTTGCACTCTTTAGCGCAGATGAAATTTGCACCGCAAAGTTTTGTGTGCACAATATTTAATTTTCTTTGTAGATGATTTATTTTGACTATTATTGCCTAGTTCATAGTTGAATTCAGTTAATCTTGTACGTTATAACTTAGGTTGTGTTTGGTATTATTGCCATTTCTACTTAAAACCTTTTGGGCTGATCAATACAAATTGCAATCTCTACTTGAAGCACCCAACTTGATGTCTCACCTATAAATGGCAATGATCAATCTTGCACATGCATTTTTTCAAGTGACTCTTGCATGTCATGTGACAATACATGTTCACAAATTTGTATTAACAAATCCAAAACATTTCAGGTAGAGACGACAATGGTATCAAACAAAACCATAGTCTTGTTTTATATCAATTAGATTTTTTTTTAAATTAGAAAAAAGGAAAATAATTAATTGTTTGTGTAGAACTGAGAGGCACAAAAATCCATTTGCATTGTTCCTAAGGCTGCGTTTGTAACTGACATAAAACATCATTGGTGTACATATTTATGCCAATTCGATTTTGGTGGCATTTAGGAGTGTACAATCATGATCAAGGTAAAACTCCACTCCAGTTCAGTTTTGCATATGTTTAGATAAAGTGGAGTCTTACGTTGTAAACCGATGTAAAAATTTGTTAAAGCAGAAGATGGATGTAAACTTCCACTTTTCTCATGCACATTTTTTAATATTCAAACAGTTACTTTTAATGGTTCGATTTAAAAACATCATCAGTGTACTTTTACCTCAGTTCCAAACACAACCTAAATTTCCATTTGCCCCACTTTGGATCATATCCTCGGTCATCAGTTAGGCTCAACAATACTGTATTTGGTTTGAAAGAAAATAAGAGAGAAGTAGATAGTTGAGGGAAAATTCTTCTCAAGGAATATGACAAAAATCCTTCAATGCTTAGTTTTATAGAAAATAAAAGAGAAAGTTATTAACAAATTTTGTGTAATTTAGGCTGCGTTTGGAAACGATGCAAATTGAGTGTAAATCTCGGTTCAGGTTAAATTTACACTCTGGTTCACTTTTGCCTGTGTTTGACCAATGCATATTTACATTGATAATAAGATGTAAAAGTACATCAATAAAAAAGAAGTAAATTTGCATTCAAGTGGGCTTTTAATTAAAAAAAAAGCATATGCTTTATTGAAATTCATGTTTGCATCCATTACATATTTTGTAAGAAGGTAAATTTGTCCGTGCAAAACTAACCCAACTTTTGCAATTTATATTATCTGTTTTACACTCTATGTATTTGCATTCACACTTATTTGTATCTTTTCCAAAGCCTTAATAACTTTCTCTCAACTTTCTATTTCTCTTTTATTTGTTTCCAATTGGAGGAAATATAGGTGAAAAGGCTTTGGGAAAAAAAAACTGATCTTTAGCTGCATAAACACGCAAAATATAACACAGAACTGTAATAGAAGGCAGAAAAGCAGATGGGACTATTTCATTCACTTATCCAATGAACTTGCTGATCAGCACTACAAGATTGTCAACAATTTCACCACCCAAGATCCCATGCTATATACCAAGTTACCAACATCTCACACAGTAAAATTAAAGTTGTGAAACAAATAAAACCAGCAAAAGAAACTATATAGAAAGATCACACATGAAGGAAGAACATCATAAGCTGGAGCTAGACTTCTCAACATTGCTTTCGGAGAGCCAATGCAAGCGTAACGACCAGCATCATCAAGATGAGTGTCGCGATGAAAGACCCCACCACAGCCCCACTGACTTGCTGACAGAAATCATCGAACTGCTGGCAGATGGCTACCCAGTTTGCACTTGAGTTTCCGGTATGAGCCAAGTAGACAATTGCAGCGGCCGAGCCAGCTCCGGCTGCCGTCAGAGCGACCATAACCTTCAAAACCAGAGAAACTAGTCCTATTAGCATAAGAAAATTGGTTTGGATCGATGACTGCAGATTATGTTAATGGAGTTGGTATTCTATCTCTTACTGTGTCGAAGATAAGCAGCAGGAGCCTAGCTCCTACTATGTTTGGCCGAACAATGCCAACGATGGAGAAGGGAATGGAGAGGACAAGATAACCAGCAGCTATAGCATTTGCGATCACAAAAAACCTGCAAATATTCACATTTGTTGTTCATGAAGCTATAACCCACTTAGAAAATTTACACCTTAGATGGGTAAATGTTGATAGAAAAGAAGTAATGACGTACGTGAAAGCTGGGAGATCACTGTAGCTAGCTTGGAACTGGAAGAATTGAGTGAAGATTGGGAGAGTCTGATCGGTTGTTCCCATGGAAATAGCGGCTCCAAGAGTAGCTCCAATGGCTAAGATCCTCAGAATGAAGTCGAAAATGGCGAGTCCCTTCTTCCATCCTCCCCGGGCAATCTTTGTAGCTTTTGTGGTGGCAACAGCCGGAGCCCCCGCAGCAGCTTTCCCTTTGGTCTCTGCTGTGGTGGATTTGCCCTTGGTGTCGCTGACTTTGCTCTCACTGCTTGGCTCGGAGATGTTGATTGCAGTTGCATCCCCACTCTTCATTTTCGTGTATGAACTCTGGCGTAGAGAGGATGGGTAGAAGGCAAAGGAAATGCAGTTGTTAGGGGAGACTGGGAGCCTGTATTGATGAAATGCCTTGATGGGTGATGAAGGTTATATAGGAGAGAGAGAGAGAGAGAGAGAGAGAGAGGGTTAGTTAATGTAGTTAGTAATGTTTAGTATTTGTTTGGTATGATGAGATGTTAGGTGTTTGTACAGCTAGGAAAGCAGTGGGAGTTGTTGCCAACTTACTCCATGTTGAAGGGAGCTCCATTTTAGTCCTACTGCATCAAATATTCAAATGCCAATTTTGTCCTACTGATGAACATAGGAATATACTTGCTTCAAAAGTTCAAAAACTTGTATGAAATTATAAATATATTCTGCATATTTATTTCTATCCTCATGACCAGATTGAGTTTGGCTTTCGGTCAATGCAATGCCGGTTCAAAAACTTTACACCTTTGCATTGGAAATATCTCCGCACTTATGTGCTTTATTTCATAGGGAGATATTCCCAATGCTTGCAAGAGACTGTTCCAAAGGTGTGAGCACCGGCTTGCACTGACTGAAGCCAATTGGACCAGATTGAGCCCATTTAAACCTTTTGCTGATCGGATCGGTTCAGATGGCTATGACAATTGGTAGTGATCATTGATTGATTATTAAGCCTTTATCCCCTTACTTTAGTCTGCAATAGAATGTTTACCCAGTAAAGAAGGGAAGAGGAAGTGAGGTTATTTTTTTGTCATCAATGAGGATAATTCTTGCCATGATATGCTTTGGTAGATAATGGAGAGGGTGGTAATAAATAAAATGGTATGATCATATATGATGGAAATCCATGCACCAAAGCCATTATATATTCGAATTTTCTTTCCTATTATAAGCTGAATAGCTGATGGAGTACATACGGATCTGCTGGAATTGAAAATTGTGTGATTATCCTAAACAACCAACTTAACAACTACCCCCCTCCCCTGCCTTTCTAAATCCTAATCCACTAATGAGATGAAAACCCTTCACCTTGCAAAAGTTTGGGTATAGGGACACAAGACCCATAACAGGTCTGGGGCTTATAACTTGCCACCTGTCCTAGATTGGTTTGATCAGAGCCCATTATTCAATGGTCCCAGGGGAAAGTGACCAAAACTTCAAGAGCGTCGCTTTGGCCGAGTGGTTAAGGCGTGTGCCTGCTAAGTACATGGGGTTTCCCCGCGAGAGTTCGAATCTCTCAGGCGACGTCCAAAATTGTGCACCAGTGGTCCTATCAGAATTTTTGAAGTGCCAGATCGACGGGCTCTCCTGCTAGTACCATTATTATACCAAAATCCCATGTCACTCTAGGAACAAAGTTACATGTGTGTTGCCTCTAAATTTTTCTTATTTGAAGAATCTTAGAAAGATACAAGTGATATAACACCGTTAGAAACCTAGATTTGTTTTGTTCAACTCTTGTATACTCCCAGTTTCCCAGAACCCCACCAAAAGAAATTACCAAACATCTATCTGGGTTCAATCAATAATATATGCTGGGATGTGGTTAATATTGTGCAGCTTGTGTCTAGCATACATACACCTCAGCAAATCCACCGTATGAACTGCTAGGGTCTAATGCATATCGAGTTTTATCTTCCTGGTTAAATTAACATTATTACCACAACACCGTTATATAATTTATTTATGTTGAATTTGGATTTAAGGGCATGGTAATATCTAATATGGTATTGGTATACCACTGTTCCCTTGAATCCTAACGTCTATCGTTCCCTTCTGCATCGCTACGTATTAGATAGATACAAGAATCGAGACAGGTTAATACGAAACTAAAACGTCTAATAAGAAACACATGTATAAAAACGTTGCTCCACATTAATGAATTCTTAGCCTTGCACCCATCATGTTGCAGCAGGTGCTCTCTGATCGAGAAAGAGAATGAATTTACGAATTCTCGGTGTTGCCCATGATTAATCTATTTCGATCTATCAACTACCTTGCTCAAAACAGGTAAAAATACAAGGCAAAATGTTGTTTCCCTGTGTACACACTTAAATTTCAACAGAAAAAGAAAAGAATGTGATTATGATGATATTAAGAATATGTAGCTCGAATCTATTTTACAAGCCGGGCAGCTATTGCAGCCATTTTATTATACAGCTCTGAAGCAACTCAAAACCCAAGCAATATCTGGCAATAGAAAGGAAGAGAAACAAAGCATCGTATACTGTTTAGCCTAAGCAACATAGGAAATACTCTAACGGAACGTTGGGGAAGAAATTGGGTAAAATACTGTATATCTTTTTTTGGTTGGTAAGAGCTGAGAGAATACACAGTTATTACTCAGAAGCTGCAAATCTGTGCACCAACCAATTGAGCTATGAACCTAGTTACTGACCAGAATATTTATTATTGCCGCAATCTCCATCCACGCTCAGCAAGTGCTTCACGTACACGACTGGCTGCTTCTGCAGTATCATTAAGGGGAGGGTAGCTCCAGCTCTCAGATATCTGAAAATAAAACACACTTTTCTTAGCGAAATATGTTACCATACTTAGCTAATGAATCAACGAGAATGTTAGGCAGATTGAAAATCTGCTTATGATATAATAGATATGAGCTGGATGATATTGATATCAAGTCCATCATCACTTATCAGCTAGCAAATTATTTTTATTTACTTATTGTCAGACTTTTAGCTCTATAATGGGGGTGTTAACTGCTTCATACGTCTGCTAATGCAATCACCCAACAACTTTAAGCAGAGGAAGAAACAAGTACTGGAATAAGCAGCAAATGAAAAACTTGTGAATAAACAACTAACAGAATGGGCACGGGGCACCTAGCACAAGCCAGTACCGTGGTTACTGTGGCACATACTGTTATGGACGCATTCCTCGGGAAAAAGTATCATCGCCGCCGGAAGCAACAGGAACCTGACCCACCGCCAGCAGCAGCAGTGATTCAATAATCCTCGTCCTACCCAGTTCGGCAACAGCAGATTAGATTAGATCATCTTGCTTGTTCTTATCTTATTCTATTGCTCTTATCTTATTAGTGGATTATCAGATTAGGATCAACTTATCTTATCCTTAGCAAGATAGAACTGGAAGTCTCCCTATTCAGCAAGGAAACTCCCTAAGATTAGGACTCTTGTAATCTCCTATTTAAGGAGACACCATTATTGAATGAGATATCGAATATTCAGTTAAAGAAGTGAGTTAGGAGAGTTGGTGATCTCTTGAACAAATCACCAAGGTGCCAAGATAGGTTCATCAAGAGCAGGAAGGAACAAGGGAAAACAGGAGGTTTTCCCCGTGGACTGACCCGTGACGAGATCCTATTCTCAGGCCCTCAACAACTTGGTATCAGAGCAAGGCATCATGGGAGATCTGGAGCAGCTGCCATCCAAGGTCCACGACCTCGAGCACCAACTCGTGGAGACCAGTTCAGAAGTATGTGAGATCAAAGACGAGGTAAGGGAGCTACGGCGTCTGATGGAGTTGTTCCATTCTAACAAGGAAGGGAACACTAAAGGAGGGACAACCACTAGCGGCCGCCGACCAGATCTGCCGGAGTCTTCCGGCGAACAGCAGTCCGTTAGCCAAAGAGCCGCAATCATCCCCAAGTACAGCAGGTTGGAATTTCCATCATACAACGGCAACGGAGACCCCTTGGGCTGGCTGTATTGGTGCGAGCAGTTTTTTCGAAATCAGCGGACAGATGACCGGGATAAGGTAAGTCTCGCCGCCTTTCATTTAATAGAGGAAGCACAACTTTGGTTCTATCGGTTAGAGAAAGAAGAACCCGGGCTCGATTGGCCCCAGTTTAAGTCATATTGCCTCCTTCGATTCGAACCCCCACTGACCAGCAACTCCCTAGGTGAGCTGATTAACCTTAAACAGACCGGAACGGTGGCAGACTACCAGCGCCAGTTCCAAACCCTCCTCGCGAGGGCATCCTCCGTGTGACCGGACCAGCAGGTGAACATGTTCACAGTAGGGTTAGCAGAACCCCTACGGGTGGATGTCGAAATGCAGAATCCCCTAAATTTGGTTACAGCCATGAACTTAGCCCGCGCATTCGAGCACAAGCTGCAACTCAGCCGTGGGACCTACAATGTGGGTCGCCCACCAAACTCATGGGCACCTCCAAAATCAGCGACAACGACCCCCTCTTCGGCAGCCAGCCGGGAACTGAGATCTCACACAACCGCCACCTCTAGATCGGTGACAAGTGCAGGTAGCAACATGGCCACTCCACCCATTAAGCGGTTGACCAGGGCAGAAATGGCAGAACGCCGAGTGAGAGGCCAATGTTTCAACTACGACGACCTCTACTCGGCAGGACATAGGTGCAAGAGGCTTTTTTGCCTCCTAGTCGATGAGCAAGAGGAGGAAGAAGAACCCGTCGTATTCGAGCCAGAGATCTCCCTCCATGCGATCACCGGTATTAAAAACACTCAGACCATGCAGTTACAGGCGCAAATAGCAGGTCAACCGGTGCGCATTCTTGTCGATTCAGGGAGCACACACAACTTCATAAGTGAACATGTCGTCCTTCAGTTAAAACTACCAATGGAACTCCGGCCACGACTACAGGTAGCCGTCGCGAACGGTGAAAGAGTTCACAGTCCGGGAATCTGTAAGAGCGTCCCGATACAGGTCAATTCTGAACTATTTTTTGCTGATTTATTTGTACTCTCCTTGGATGGGTTCGATGTCGTTCTTGGGGTCAAATGGTTAATTACCCTAGGCCCGATTTTATGGGACTTCAGTGCACTCACAATGACATTCCACTTGATGGGAAGCAAGTTTCATGGCACGATTGCAGGGTTAAAGAGAAGACACCACAGGTCCATGCACTTCAGACAGAACTGACGGCCATGGAAAGACTCCTCGTCGAGTTTTCAGATATATTCCAGGAACCCAAGGGGCTCCCTCCTCCCCGAGCATGCGACCATCGAATTCCTTTGGTGGCGGGTTCAGAACCAGTCGTTGTCCGGCCTTATCGGTACCCTCACCTACAGAAGAACGAGATAGAAAAGCAATGTACAGAGATGCTGAAACAAGGGATCATACGCAAGAGTCACTCTCCTTTCTCTTCACCGGTTCTGTTGGTGGCGAAGCAAGATGGAACTTGGAGGTTTTGTGTTGACTACAGAGAACTCAACGGTCGGACGATCAAGGATAAGTTCCCTATTCCCATTGTGGACGAACTGCTGAACGAGCTGCATGGTGCTCAGTACTTCTCTAAGTTGGACCTCAGGTCCGGATACTTCCAGGTTCGCATGGCTCCCGGTGACGTGAAGAAGACTGCCTTTCGAACCCACCATGGCCACTTCGAATTTTTAGTCATGCCATTCGGTCTCTCCAACACCCCATCCACATTCCAGTCATTGATGAACGAGGTATTTCAGCCCCATCTGCGCAAATTTGTTTTAGTATTCTTTGATGACATCCTCGTTTATAGCAAATCATGGGTAGAGCATGTGCACCATCTGCGGACCGTTTTTGAGCTCCTGCGCCAACACAAACTCTTCCTCAAACGGTCCAAGTGCTCCTTCGGGGAACGATAGGTTCTTTATCTCGACCACGTCATCCACGGGCAGGGTGTGACGATTGATAGTTCCAAAATTCAGGCTATCAAGGAATGGCCCAAGCCTCAATCAGCCAAGGCCTTACGCGGGTTCCTCGGATTAACGGGTTACTACCGCAAATTTAAACAAAATTATGGACTGTTGGCGGCCCCGTTAACCAACCTGTTGAAGAGAAACTCCTTCCGGTGGGACAACGCCGCTGATGCATCTTTTCTAACACTGAGAAATGCCCTATCTTCCACCCCAGTCCAGCAATTACCCAATTTCGCTCTCGAATTTACAGTCGAGTGTGATGCCTCTAGAATGGGTATCGGGGCCGTGTTACAGCAGCAAGGGCACCCGATTGCTTTCTTCAGCCGCAGACTGTCCGATCGGCACCTGAAACTTCCGGCCTATGAGCGCGAACTAATCGGTCTAGCCCGAGCCGTCCAGCACTGGAGGCCGTATTTGTGGGGGTGGTCGTTCGTCGTCAAAACTGATCATTACAGCCTCAAATACCTATTGAAGCAACGTCTCACCACTTCCCCTCAGTAGCATTGGGTTAGCAAACTGCTCGGGTTCGATTTCCAGGTGGAATACAAGGTGGGATCCTCAAATTGCGCAGCTGATGCCTTGTCTAGGCGAGATGAAGATGCAATGGCTCTGTGTGCAATTTCCCAACCCCGGATCTCCCTGTTAGACGGCATTAAGAAGGCAACGCCACAGTTTCCGAAATGGTCGCTCCTGGTCCAGAAGATCCAGTCCGGCGCTACCAACTCCAATTGGTCGCTTCGCGACGGGTTGGTACTATATAATGGTCGGGTACATCTTTCGCCTAACTCCCCGTTGATTTCCACCATCATCACCGGCGTCCATAACTCCACCCATGAAGGCATTCAGAAGACGCTACACCGCGTCCGGACTGATTTCCATTGGCAGGGTATGAAGACTTCTATTCGGGATTTTGTCCAGAATTGCTCCACGTGTCAACCGCATAAATGGGAAAACCTACACCCAACAGGCCTCCTTCAGCCCCTTTCGATCCCGACACAGATCTGGGCCGACATTTCCATGGACTTCATTGAGGGACTACCCAAGGTGGGTGGCAAATCGGTCCTCTTCGTGGTAGTAGATCACTTTTCTAAGTATGCCCACTTCATCCCTCTATCACATCCGTACAGTGCCACTTCAGTTGCCCTTGCCTTCTTTCAACATGTTTTCCGCTTACATGGGTTACCAGAAGCCATCGTCAGCGATAGGGATCCGGTTTTCACTAGTGCCTTCTGGAAGGAGTTATTCAGATTGCACGGCACCACCCTGGCCTTCTCCTCAGCTTATCATCCACAGACCGACGGTCAGACAGAGGTGGTTAACCGCACGATCAAGATGTATCTCTGTTGTTTCGTAGGGGATCAACCGCGACGGTGGGTGGATTGGCTCCCTTGGGCCGAGTACTGTTACAACACGGCCTACCATTCTTCCCTCGGCATGACTCCCCTTCGCGTCGTTTATGGCTGGGACCCTCCTCGCTTGCTGTCCTGTGAGCCCGGTTCTACTCGTTTGGAAGAAATTGATCACTCCTTACAAGAGCGCGACGCCCTCCTAGCCGACGTCCACCTTCGCTTACAGCAGGCCCAACTCCGCATGAAGCTCAATTATGACAAGCACCACCGGGAATTGTCGTTCGAACCAAGACAATTTGTTTGGTTAAAACTCCAGCCCTACCGGCAACGCTCCTTGCGCCACAGGGCTGCCCCGAAACTGGCCCCTAAGTTCTATGGGCCCTTCAAGGTTCTACGGCGGATTGGCAGTGTGGCCTACCAGTTGGAATTGCCGGAGAATAGCCGGATTCATGATGTTTTCCACATCTCCTTGCTGAAACCATTTACGGGTGATCCTCCAGACCAAGTCCCCTCCCTGCCGCCCTTGAAAGATGGCAAACTTGTTCCCCATCCTAAGGCTCTCACCCGCTCTCGTTTCAATCGAGGAATTCTTGAAGTATTGGTGGAATGGGGTAGCTTACCATCAGCCGAAGCCACCTAGATTCCATTGGCAGAGTTCCAAGCCATGTATCCGGAGTTCGAGCTTAAGGACAAGCTCTTAGTCCAGGAGGGGAGTAATGTTATGGACGCATTCCTCAGGAAAAAGTATCATCACCGCCGGTAGCAACAGGAACCTGACCCACCGCCAGCAGCAGCAACAGTGATTCAATAATCCTCGTCCTACCCAGTTCGGCAACAGCAAATTAGATTAGATCATCTTGCTTGTTCTTATCTTATTCTATTGCTCTTATCTTATTAGTGGATTATCAGATTAGGATTAACTTATCTTATCCTTAGCAAGATAGAACTGGAAGTCTCCCTATTCAGCAAGGAAACTCCCTAAGATTAGGACTCTTGTAATCTCCTATTTAAGGAGACACCATTATTGAATGAGATATCGAATATTCAGTTAAARAAGTGAGTTAGGAGAGTTGGTGATCTCTTGAACAAATCACCAAGGTGCCAAATCAAGAGCAGGAAGGAACAAGGGAAAACAGGAGGCTTTCCCCGTGGACTGACCCGTGACGAGATCCTATTCTCGGGCCCTCAACACATACATGCCCACCAAACCAATCCTCATACTGGTAAAGGTTATGCATACACAAGGGGTTCCAATAGAATACAAGTATACAACTGAATCAGGATGAGGTGCATTGGAGTTTTGGGATAAAATTTTTGTATTTGGAAAGGTAACCAATTCTTGTGATGCAAGCAAAAATCAACTGATTGTTTTATGCATTTTAATGGCATAAAATGATTTCTGTGGCAAAGTTAAACAGAAATGTCAATTTTAGTAAAAAAACAATTAAACTATCAGACAAATATATAAAAAAAAACAATTAAACTATCAGACAACAGTTAAGGAAAGTTTGAGGCAAAATTTTGTCATGCAATGTAATTTATAATTTAATAGAAATAAAGTATAAACTATGATGGTTATAAACTTACATCTTCTTTACCCGTGAATGGCCGAACCACACCTCGTTCACGGAGAGAATTTTGAAAATCCAAAAATTTCCATGTACACCTCTCTGCCCCAATGACATATACAGGTTTCCTGCAAAGACAGCAAACAGAAAATGTACCTATAGATCCAACTAAAAAACGCCATCAATCATTACTTTATCATAGGGGTGCTCCATACCCTGTACTGCAAGCCTCACTCAACATACTCACTGAATCTGCTGTGATGACAAAAGCATCTGCCCAAGCTAAATGGCCCAAATGTGGATTTGGATCTAAAATTTATCACATAAGATGGCTCATCAGACAACCTTCAGAGACATAAAAGAAGGAATTTATCCATTCAATCTTTGTAAAGGATAAGGCAATTATGATTACCTTCACCATCCCAAATGTAGACCTTTGGATGATTAGCAAGTTCTTTCAATAAGATATCAGATACCTGTTGATATAAACATTGATGAGAATAGGTGCATATTGAGAAAATGGAATAAATATATATCAAGATATAGTTGTACCTTCTGTGGCGTCCTTCGAGAGAAAGAAATTCTAAGACTTCCACAGGTTGCAAGGACATTTTGCACTGAAGAAGCTAACTGCTTGGCAAGGTCCGCACCATAACGACAGTGGCCTATAGTAATTTTTTGTTAATCAGTGTGGCCTATAGTAAAATTTGGTAATGAATTAATTATCAACAATCTTCTAATTATAAAGTTAATTATATAAAAAAAAATCTTCTAATAATAAGGTTATCATGTGAGCAATGACAGAAAAAGTGGGATCARCTACAATTTTTAAAGAAATAAATAAGCAACAGTTGGCATGCCAAACACTAGGGTAAGAAGAAAATATTATGCAATAACAAACCAACTTGGAAAAAATATGATGAATACTGTACAGTATGCCTAGGAATTCATAATGTTGTACCTGTTGGAGCTGTTGACCAGAATTTATGCAAGTGCTTAATAATTGAAGAAGAGTTCGCACCATTACATATAGAAAATATGTTAAACTTTTTAATACATATAGAGGAAAAGGTATAGGGTGTGAGGAAATCTCACTTCAACATTCACATGGACCTCTCACACCCCTCGCTTCACCCTTCTCACGTATCACAGATGTGATTTATTTTGTATTCTAAATTAAAAATGAAAAAAACACAATAAAACTCTTCTCAATTCTAAATTCTCATTTCTCTAATAAAATCCCTCTTAACCTCCCCTTCCCCCCACTAAATCCTTCTTATTCTTTTAACTCTTTTTAAATCCCTCTTCTTTCTTTAATGAAAATAAGGGTGCAATTTGGGTGGGTAGGGCCAGGTTTAGGTACAACCCAGGCCAAATCAAGACAGTCCTTGCCTTGGGCCTGGAGCCAGGCCAACCTAACCTGAGCAAAGCATGAGTTTGCCAACCTGAGCTAAATTCAACACAACTCAGGCTGGGCTCAGGTGGATTTTTCAAGCCTACTTCATTTGGGCTTTATAAACCAACCTGTGTTGAGTTTTTGGGTCCAGGCACAAGCCTGGAAGCCCTAGACCCCAGAAATCCAAGACCAATCTGCCCAATTTGCAAGTCACAACCTAAATAAAATCCCCCTCCCCTTCCACCACTGTATTCTACTGTAGAAACCTCCATCTGATCCCTATTAAAACTCTCTCTGTCTCTCTCCAATGGTGTACAGTGGGAAATCTCCCCACCACCACTCCAAACTCGTATCCTTAATCCTTATCCCTTCAATTGCCCTTGATTAACATGTAGAAGCATCTACTATATAGCAAACAAAATCCCTCCTTTTTTTTTTGACAATTGAGATTCAATAACACAATAAATAGCATTAGGTGAAGCTCATGGTAGGATTCATAGCATCTTCTTCATTGTAATTTGTTATAAAAAGAAGACTTCCATTATAATTTTGGAACTGAAATAAAACCATCTAATAGGAGGTCACTCTTTTTTCAGTTTTCTTTGAATGGTTGAATGATATTTTGACCTTTTCCTTATAATAAACTTCTTATTTGTTGGTATGCACTTAAAAATCTTTTTCAGCAGCTTCTTATCAGATTTCTATTAATCCCCATACATCACGCGGGTTTACAAGCTAGATGGAGAAACATTTATTTTTTTATCAGTAAAAGAAAATTTTATTTAAAATAGGTTTAAGACAAAATTTTACAACTTGTAGATGGGAATGTTGTTCCCAATCTAGTACATATTTCTGTCCCACTTTACAGCTCAGCCCAAAATAATTGTTGCCTCAGTGCCCCTTGTTTTGCAAGGGCATCAGTTAGCCCATTTGCACTCCTAACCCATTTGAAATCAGCCTCTAACTCCTTTGCAATCTTTTCCACTTCCCAAATCACGTGTTTGAAGGTCCACAGAGTAAGTCTACTGTTTGTAGCCCAAGAGATGACCAACTCTTGAGTCCCACTCTTGAAGGTCCATGGAGAAACATTTAGTTGTCATTCTGCCACTACAGGTACAGTAGTATACATGTATACATGCACAACCCAATAGAGAGAAAAGTGAAACAAATCCTTCTGCAAGGAGAGGCTTTATGTCTGAGAGCATGCTCATATCTTGACATGTAGCAATAGCATTACTTCAACAATGTTAAGTTTTATGAACGACAAAATCTATTTTGGGAATACATTTGTCATGTCACTTTAACACTCCTATGCAATGCATAATAACATAGAAGTGTAGCTTTTGCTTCACTGGCGCCTTTTTGTAAACTGGATATGGACAACAAATCACAAAGATCAATTTTAGGCTTCCAAATCCAACAAATCACAAAGATCAATTTTATGCATCCAAATCCAAGGGACATTTTTAAGGCTTTAAAAGGCATGACCTGGCTTATTTACAGAAACTAAGTTTGAACACCTGCTATCAGTTCTATCATCTTTTGCATTGTTGATCAAAATGTTAAACAGCATCATTAATCTCTAGTTAAGGTCCAAGTCTTGATTCACAAACCACTCTTCGTGATCCAAGCTTAAAACATTTTATAATGATCCTATTGATCCTCTCCACCCAAAGAGTGAGCCAACTGAAAAGAAGGGGAAGAATACTACCATGTGGCATCTATTACCAAAAGAACCACATTGTCTAACTGTCTACGAACTCCTCTCACTTGGCATTACAGAACTGAATATGCCAAGAAGGTTAAAGATGAATATTTAATACTCCGGCCATTTTGGCTCAATGTGCACTCTCATCCATGGTCTGTATATAGTCATGCTTAGAGACAACCCTATATTGTTGATTTTTTCCTAGTTGCCATTCAACAGAAAGCTCCTGTACTAGGAGGGCTGGAAGTATTCCACATGTCCATGTTCTCATGACAAAGATGGCTAAATGTAAGAAATAACCCAAGATCAATATCCAAAAGGATGATGCTTAGATTCCCTACATTAGCAGTCAAAGGGAGGTACTTCATCAGAAAGAATACTCACTTTTAACATCCCCCTACCTAACAATAAAGGGAAAGTAACTTTTCAGCCTGATCAATAGATATAAGGTTGAGGAATCCAATGATATTCAAGCGTAGATATAAGGTTGAAAAGGCATATGGCATGGTGGACTGGGATTTTTAACTAGAGGTTCTCAAGCATAGATGGTTTGGGGAGATATGGTGCAGATGGGTAAAGGGATGCATTTCTTTATGTCATTTCTCAATACTGGCAAATGGTGTAGCTAGGGGTTTCTTCCCTACAAAAAGGGGTATTAGGCAAGGAGATCCATTGTCCCCATTCCTCTTTACCCTAGTAGTTGATGTTCTGAGTGCCATGATTTCAAGGGCTGATGCTAACAATTTGATAAGAGGTTGGAGGATTGGTAGGGAGGAGGTGGTGGTCACACACTTACAATTTGCGGATGACATCATCTTGTTTTGTGATGGGGAGGAAGGGGAATTACAGAACTTAAAGAGACTAATGCTTCAATTTGAAAGGAAGTTCAATCTTAAAGTGAACTGGGGAAAAAGTTGTATGGCAGGGCCCAATTTAGGGGGAGAGGAGGTGGATTCCCTAGCTAGGATTTTGGGGTGCAAAGTGGGGGACTGGCCTTTACAATATTTGGGGCTACCACTGGGAGGGAACCCAATGGTTGAGAGTTCTTAGTACCCTGTGATTGAAAGATTTTCCAAGAGGTTAGCAAATTGGAAGAGGAATTGCATCTCTTTAGGGGGTAGGATAACCTTAATCAAGCCAACCTTGGCCAACCTGCTAGTTTATTTCCTGTCTACCTTTAGAGTACCAGTGAAAGTAGCAAACCAGTTAGAGAAGATAATGAGGGATTTCTTGTGGGAACCATGGGAAACTAAGAATGATCACTTAGTAAAGTGGGAGGTAGTATCTAGGAGTAAGGATGATGGAGGCCTTGGGTTAGGAAATATAAGATTAAGAAACACGGCTCTGTTGGGGAAATGGATTTGGAGACTACTGATGGAACATGACAAACTTTGGTCTAGAGTGATTGTTAGTATTCATGGATTGGCAAATAACGGTTGGGATGCAGGACTTGACCCTGGGGCTTCTCGATGTTCACCTTGGAAAGCTATTCAAGGCATTTTGCCTCTTACCTTATTTCAAATACGATGTCTACACTACCCCCCCCCCCGAGTGTGGTGTGGTGATCCAGCTTTTTGCAGGCAACCAAAGGTTCGTGGAAGGATTATGTGGAGAGCCACTAGAGCTGTTGTATTGTGGTCAATGTGGGAGGAAAGAAACAATAGGATTTTCAAAGGTAGTTGTAGATCCAAGGAAGAGGTTGTGGAAGGAGTAAACTACTAAGGTTATCCATTGGTTGAAATCCTGTGATCTTTTTAAGGATTTCTCAGCTGAAGACATTTATAGAAGTTGGGGTATCGTGGCAACTACTACTACTACTTCCAAATCTATGATACAAGAAGTTTGGTCCCCACCGGCGCAACAAAGGGTAAAACTTTACTTTGATGGAAGCTCTATAAGTAATCCAGGCCCATCTGGTAATAGGAGGTGTTTCCAAAGATAATGAAGGCAAGTAATGGCTATGTATTCATGTCTAGTAGGAGTTGGAGATTCCTTAAGAGCGGAAATCTTGGCACTACATCAAGGTGTAAAACTAACCAAACAATTGGGGCTACAGCAGATTGAGATATAGGGGGACTCCAAATTGGTAATTGGGTGGATGCACTCAGGGCAGCTGGGAATTTGGCAGTATAGACAGCTGATAAGGGAAATACTTGGCATAACAAGGGAGGTAGGTGTTTGTTTCAAGTGGGTAAGGAGATCAGCAAATGGTTTTGCTGACGCCCTAACAAAACAAGGGACTGTAAGGGAGAGACTTTTACTAGGCAGTGCTGTAATGTTTGATGTTTATTGGATCAACCTTTACTAATAAGGGTTGACTTCTGATTTCAGTTTTAATTTATCTCTAATGAAAGTTATCGTTTCTGAGATAAAAAAAATCTAATGATATCCAAGTTTCAAAAGAATATACAATCTTCACAGTTATCATATGACAAGAATCCCCAACCACCATTGATGTAGGACCAGCTCAGTTCTAGTCTTTAGAGAATGTTGAATGGCCTTCTTGATCTGAGTTTTATGGCTGCCGATGGCTGTAATGGCTTCTTGAAGGAATAAAAGAGAAAATAGGGAGAGAAAGAAGAGAGAAAATACCTGGAATCACTCACAGGGTGCCTAGAATCACTCTAGGGCATGGGAATCATTCACCATAGCTAGCATAAGCTGAAGAAAACTCAATAAACTTTTTTTTTTGAAAAAGATAAAGCATCTATAGACTCTAGACTCTAAACTCAATAAACTTCATTGCCTTTGTGTAAAACGTCCATACATATTTATAGACTCTAAACTCATAATAATCCTAGGAGTCAAACTGTTAGACTCAATAATCCTAAAAGGATTCAAACTAAGTTGCCATATCTTATTTATAGACTCTAATCCTACTTATGCAATGACTCTGAAATTTTAAACATAAACAAACTATAGCTAGACAAATTAAACCCTATCAATGAACCCCACAGAAAATTACAAAATGACAAAAATACCCCTACTGTCCAAAAATAAACAAATACATAAAATTTCATAAAATTCCAATTTTGACTCTTCAGCTCCTGCATCAACTATTCTCATATATGCATTAACCTAAATAGCCTGGGTGTATCTGGAAATGTGAAGGATATGATAAACAAAACAAGAATAAATTATCTAACCCCTGAAACTCATAAAAAATGTTACAAATCAAAAAAAATCAAGGATAAAAATTATTCGACCCATTTAGAAAGGAGACCATGCAGAAAAAATAGCCACATGTGTAAAGGAAAAAAACAGATATTGTAATCAACCTGGAAGCCAATAAAAAGGTAGAAAAACATCAAAATGAACAGAAATTACTTGTGGGTCCTCCAACATTAACAACAAGTAATGGCTTTGGAAGAGGTGCCAATTCATCATGCCAGGCAATAGCAGCACTTCTAAGTGCAGCAGAATCTGCTTGATGTAAAGCTCCCACAGTGAGAACCTGAATTGTAACACTTCAAAACTCTGAGAAAAATATACCTAAAAAGTTAATTAAAGATAAAGCAAACAACATAATAGTCCAAAACCAGAGTTGAGCTGAACTAATAAAGTAAGCCCAAACATCAACCTAAGCTCTTTAGCTGAACAAGGATGAGGGCAGGCTAAGCTCATCTTAAGCTCTGCTCATTTAGATGATTTGATCTACATATTACAAAGTCAATGGATGCCTAAATCTTATAATTTTTTGCCAGTTTTCCTTTTAATAAATATTAGTTGCTGCCAATGACCCCATAGTTGAGTTGGTCGCTTGCCATCCCTTTCCACATTATATGGATTAATTGCTGGCTTGGATTGTAGGCTCCATATAATTGGACTTATATGGGCCAAATACCAAGAAAATGAAATTCAAAAAGGCCAAGCCAATTTTGAGATTGCAAACATCTGGCAAGCCAACACTAGGCTCGCACCTTTAGCTTCATCATGATGCTAGGCCAAACCTAAGCCCGAGGAGTTGGGCAAAACTCAGCTCATCTACAGCCTAAATCAAAGATGTAATGACAAAGTAAGCCCAAATATACAAGTCTTTTATCAAGGAACATACCACATGCTGATCAGGAGGATCTCGCGGAGTTATCCACCTACGGAGAAATCGAGGGATCTGTTTCTGTGCTTCAGGAGTCAATGGATAATAGTCATGCCTAGGAGTAATCACCAGATCAAACCTATTGAGATGTGACCTTGGATGTTGTATCTGAGAATATGATGTTGGAATCAAATCAGTAATGCATGCCACGAAAATATGTATAGTTAGTTGTACACACAAACTGCAGCATGGTGGAATATACTGACATAAATAAATATGCCATGGTAGAAATAAGATACTTTTGTTTAGAGGTAGTAGGTAAATAAAGATTTGAAAATGAAATGCGAACGATCAACAAACTGAAATGTTTGGTGTTGTATTCCTGGCACATTAGATGGTATGATAATATCCATGATCATATCCTATATTTCATGAAATGAAAAGTTGTATCTTCCTATCATGCATAGATATCTTTTTTCTGACAATGTGTAGGCATTTTAGGAAACTCCATGTTAGATCAGAAAGAATTTTCCAGGTTCAATATAATATAATCAAACCAAACTTCTAAGAAGCAGGAATTAATGTGCATTTTTCTGTTTTTGCATGGACAGACACAGAAATAACATATGTGGAAACTCAAAAAAAAAAAGATAAAAATAATTATTCAAATAATACCTGAACAACAAAAACATTTTCAGGCGCTAACCGTTTAATGGAGCTTGCTACAGAGATGGTATCTCGACCCGATGCAACAACCAATAAAGGACCATCCCTGAAACAGATCATGGTTTCAAATACAACCAAAACATTAAGCTAAAGCAAGAAAATATCACATCCATAAGTGATGTGAAATAAATGATGGATGTCCCAAAACTTTGGTTTATGAAGCTAACAATTAACAATAGAAAGCAAATTTAACATGACAGATACAAATAATGAGAGGACTTTAGTAATGCAGATGCTAAGCAATTCATTTTAATTACCTCAAAAGTGGAACCAAAAGAAGGTAAATAGTTGTTGAATGATCAGTGTAATAATTGCAAGGTTGTCTCAATAGAGAGTAATAACGGAACACATGATGATGGTTTTGGATCATCCTAATGTAGGGATGCAAAAGATATCCAATCCAAATCAAAATTTGAATGTCATCCAACTGAAACAATCCGAATTTGATCCCTTTATGGTTGGACCATATATGGATCCACCCCATCCATTATGATCCAATCAGAGATTATTTAAATATGTATATTATATCTACCTAAAATTAATACGTGTTTGTAATCATACGAAGAAGAGGAATAACAGAGAAGAGAGAGAAAAAGAGAGAGAGAGAGAGAGAGAGAGAGAGAGGGAGAGAGAGAGAGAGAGAAGAGACGAGAAGAAGAAGAAGAAGAAGAAGAAGAAAGATGTGAAGAGTCAAAAGAATAGAGCTGGCAGCACCCAGCTTCTCTTTTATTTAAATGTTTTATAACAATTATAAGAAATTGCAAATAGACCCCTGGCAGCACACCCTAAACAAAAAGAAAAGAACATGCTGCCAGCAGTTTAAGCTGACAGCATTGTAACAACATGAATAAAGAAAAAACAATTTAAAACTAACAACACTCCCCATCAAGTTGGGTTGAATATATCTATCATACCCAACTTGTCACAAAGCTCATTGTGTCGCAGGTGTAGAAGTCYTTTTGTGAGAACATTAGCAAGTTGCTCCTTAGATTTGACATAAGGGGTGCAAATTTCTCCATTTTCCAACTTTTCTCTTATGAAATGCTTGTCCACCTCAATATGCTTGGTCCTATCATGTAGGACTGGATTACTGGCAATGTTAAGGGCTGCCTTATTGTCACTGTAGAGGGACATAGGATTGTGGATAGTAACCCCAAGTTCTTCTAGAAGGTTCTTCAGCCAAAGAGCTTCAGCCACCCCATGTACCATAGCTCTATACTCTGCTTCAGCACTTGACCTTGCCACTACACTTTGCTTCTTACTTCTCCATGTCACTAGATTTCCTCCTACAAAGGTACAATACCCACTTGTGCATTTTCTATCATCCACAGCTCCTGCCTAGTCAGCATCTGTGTAGACTTCCACCTTCAGATGATTATGTTTGCTGAATAGTAGCCATGTTCCTAGATACTTCTTCAAGTACCTAAGAATCCTCTCTGCTGCCTCCATGTGTTGTCTTTTAGGGGAATGCACGAATTGTCTTAGGACCTCAACTAAGTAAGCAATGTCAGGGCGAGTCGTGGCCAAATAAAGCAACCTTCCCACTAGTCTTTGAAACTGTTTCACATCTTTTAGTGGTTCACCCTCACAATTCCCCAACTTATGGTCAACATCCATAGGGGTATCAGCTGGTTTTGCACCTAACTTGTCTGTATCTTGTAACAGATCTAGGATATACTTCCTTTGAGAGATGAAGATGTCCCTTTTTGAGCGGGCAACTTCAATTCCAAGAAAGTACTTTAGGGGGCCTAGATCTTTCGCTTCAAATTGAGAGGCTAGGAATTCCTTCAACTTTTGTATTTTTGTGCTCTAGTTTCCAGTAAGGATGATATCATCTACGTACACTATCAACACAGCCACTTGTTCCTAATATCTCTTCACAAAGAGAGGGTGATCAAACTGACATTGCTTGAACCCCACTTGTTGAACTTCCATATGAAATTTATTGAACCACGCTTAAGGAGATTGTTTTAGACCATAGAAAGATGTTCTTAGTTTGCACACCTTACTTTCAGTTCCTTTGGCACAAAAACCAAGGGGTTGAACCATGTACACCTCCTCCTCCAGATCACCATTTAAAAAGGCATTCTTAATATCCAGTTGATGCAATTTCCAATCAAGGTTTGCAGCCAATGATAGAAGAACCCGTATTGAGTTCATCTTGGCTACTTGGGCAAATGTCTCATCAAAATCAACACCATAAACTTGGGTATACCCTTTAGCTACCAACCTTGCTTTGTACCTTTCAACTGTCCTGTCTGCCTTGTGTTTCACTGTAAACACCTACTTACACCCCACTAGGTCTTTCCCTGTTGGAAGATCCACCAACTCCCATGTTTGACTCTTGTGGAGGGCATTGATCTCCTCCTTCATAGCATCTTTCCATTCAGGGTATTTTAAAGCTTCTGCCACGTTTTTGGGTATGGGAATACTATCAATTGAAGATAGGAAGGCACTCAAAAGGGGAAATGTGGTCATAGGACACATATTGGGTAATGGGGTATTTGGTGGTGCATAACCTGACCCCTTTTCTATGAGCAATAGGAATGTCAAGGTCATCCACAAATGAAACAGGGGCTATGGGATCAATAGGTGTTGGACTTACCTCCTGGGAATTAGATAGTGTTGGTTGCTCAATGTTTGGTGGCTCCACATCTTTGTCACATTGCTGATCTCTACGGCATTGACGTTGGAAGACACAAAAAGGAGTGAGATCCGGAATAGAAGGAAGACTTGACGAACCTGGGTCTACTTCTCCTCTTCCACATTACTCTCCCCTTGAGAAGCAAGGAAAAATGGTTCAAACTCAAAAAAAGAGATATCCATAGAGACAAAGAACTTATGACCAACGGGATCAAAGCATCGGTAACCCTTTTGTAAAAAGGGATACCCCAGAAAGACACATGGAATAGACCGAGGATCCAACTTACCACGGGACACAAAGGCACAACAACCAAACACCCTCATGGGAATTGAAAAAAGGAGATTAAGGAAACAATAACTGATGAGGGGCCTTGTAGTTTAACACTCTAGAGGGCATGCAGTTTATGACATAAGCAGCAACAAGTACACCATCAACCCAAAATCCCTTGGGAACATTCATATGTAACATCATCCCTCGAGCTACCTCAAGGAGGTGCCTGTTCTTTCTTTTTGCAACACCGTTTTGTTGTGGTGTTCTTGCACATGAGCTTCTATGAATCGATCCATGGGAAGCAAAGAACTCATTTAGTTCACCACGGAAATATTCCTTTGCATTATCAGATTGAAAATTTTGAACTTCCACATGGAATTGTGTAAGCACCATCCTTTGGAAATCTCTTACGATCTTTGGGACTTCGTCTCTTCTACACATGGGAAAAACCCATGTATAACGGGAGAAATCATCAATCAATGTGATAAAGTACTTATACCCACCCTTTGAAGTTATTATAGTAGGCCCCCACACATCAGAATACACAATATGGAAAGGGAAACTTGATCTTTTATTACTTGAAGAAAATATTGTTCTACATTGCTTGCTCAATTGACACGTTTGACAAATGGAAATCTGACACTGAACAGGACTTAAATAAAAACGGAAACAAAGACTTTATTATTTCAAAAGACACATGTTCTAACTGATTATGCCACAAAACAATTTGACCCTTATTTGACCGACTATGAGACTCTGAAGATGACACCGAGAAACTAGCCTTCCTGTCGAGGGACATGAATCAAGAAAAAAAGTTACACTATAGTTTAAAGAATTTGTGATACTACTAATAGAAAGAAGGTTGATAGGTAGTTGAGGGACATGCAAAACATTACTCAGGTTAAATCCTTGAGGAAAGGATATTGATCCCTAACCTGCGATGGAAGAAAAAGAACCATCCGCAAGTCTCACTTTATCCCTTCCTAACAAAAAGTTATAAGAACTTAATAGGTTTGGCTTACAGGTCATGCGGTTAGAAAACCCTGAGTCAATGATCCAAGGGGAATCTGTGGTTATGGAGAGGTGGAAGGCAGAAGCTACATTACCTGATGTAAACACAAATGAAGTAGAAAGATTACCAGCGGCTTATCTGTCCATCTAGCGCAAGGCCCTACCATACGATTCCAAGTGACTACGGAAGGAGTTCATAATGTCTTCCTTGGGTTCAAAACCAATGAAGTGTTCTCAAGTAGTATCAGTTGACACCACAACAGATTGAGTTTCTTGGGTTACTACATTTGCTGCGTTGTGTGTTGTATTAGGCTTCTTCTGACTCTATTCCTTACCATGTTCTTAGTTCTTTACAGCCTACTTTGGTCTCCCATGGAGCTCCTAACATGTGTCACGTGTATGTCTTGAACGACGGCAATGAGTGCAAAACAACTCATCCTTATCATCGGCTTTCTTGGAATCATTTTTCTTTCCCATATTATTTCCACCTGTTGTAACCATCACACTCCGCCTACTTTCCTCAAACTAAACAAGGGCATACACCCCTTGGACTAAGGGCAACTCTTTACTTCCTAAAATCTGAACTCTAAAGGATTCATATATGGGGTTTAGTCCCAAAGAAGGCGAAAACCGCTGCTAAGAAACCAACTTCTTATAGGCTCTAGCATCATCCTCATGTTTCCATTCTATAGCCTGATAGTGGTCCAATTCCCTCCACACTGAGGTAAAAGCTAAAATAATAGGTTGACAAGCTACGATTTCCTTGTTTACAAGTTGAGGATTCAGCTTGTAACTGGTAGATCTAAGCAAAGTGCCTTTTCTCTGAATAGGTGGTCTTGGCATGTTCCCATATCTCATTTGCAGTATCTGCCCACATAAAATTCTTTTTCACATCAGATTCCATGGCTGCAAGAAGCCAAGACATCACCATACTGTTTTCTTGGTCCAATCGATCATGTTCAGTAGTCCCACTCTTGGGTTCTTTCACCCTTCCATTTATGTAACCAGCTTTTCCCCTTACTGTTGCATAAAGTTTTACACCTTTGGCCCACTCTAGGTAGTTCAGACCATTTAAAGGAATGACCGGCAAAGGAAACGTCATGCTTTCAGTCCCCATACCTGTTGTACCACGGGTTGATGTAACCCCAGATGATGCAGAATCACCATTCGCCATTTTCAAAGGCAGGTTTTCAAGCCAAAACAAAAAAACTGCAGGTGCACAAGACCAGTCCTCACACTAGTACTACTTCTAACAGTCACAGTTAAGGCACAAAACGCCACACCCTACTTCTGAAAACATGTACACACTACTGCAGCACATAAACAGTCCAAGAAGAAGAAGAATACTATTGTACCAAGTATACTGCTGTAAATTCCACACCACACACTAATTCTAGCACATACCTGGACAAAGGGGATCACACACCCCTGTACAGCACCTGTATGAAGGTGCAAAGAACATAACCAGGCCTTCACAGCATCAGCCGAAGGTCAAAAAAGGAAGTTTGTAGGTCTTCGCAGCATCAGTCGAAGGAACTAGGCCTTCACAGCATCAGCCAAAGGTCAAAAACAGAAGTTTGTAGGTCCTCACAGCATCAGTCGAAGGAACCAGGCCTTCACAGCATCGGCCGAAGGTCAAAAGGAAGTTTTTTGGATCTTCACAGCATCAGTCGAAGGAGGCAAGGAAGCTTCACAGCATCGGCTTCCACCAATTAGGGTTACCTTGGTGCTACGACCAAGGAAGAACCCAGAAGAAGAGACGAAAATTATTTCTGATCAGTCCGATTTGAAAATTTTGTCTTCATAGTCCAAGAAAAGAAACTGACGCCTAGGTTGAATGAATACTTCTCAGCAAAAGAAACTCCTATTGCCCAGTGTGTTGCTCTGGCACCATGTAATCATACGAAGAAGAAGAGGAATAACAGAGAAGAGAGAGAGAAGAAAGGAGAGGAGAAGAATAAGAAGAAAAAAGATGTGAAGGGTCGAAAGAATAGAGCTGGCAGCACCCAGCTTCTCTTTTATTTAAATGTTTTATAACAATTATAAGAAATTGCAAATAGGCCCCTAGCAGCACACCCTAAACAAAAAGAAAAGAACATGCTGCCAGCAGTCTAAGCTGACAGCATTGTAACAACATGAATAAAGAAAAAACAATTTAAAACTAACAACAGTGTGTATGTGTAAGGTTTGTCTGAATATTTTATCACTACTAAAGAGTTTTTTCAATAAAATAAATTGCATTAAAAAGAAAAGGAATATTACAAGGAAGGTGATCAGAAGTAACCCTAAGAAACTATGCATATTATGTTTCTCTAAACCTATGAGCAGGTTTAATTGCTACAACTCAACAGAAACCCACTTGGCATGCACACCTCAAAGGGTGGATTAAACCTTAAACTATTATTTAGATTCTGCATGCTCAAAGCACACATTATTGAAAACAAATTTGGAGATTCCATTAACCATGACATAAGTAGGTTATCTTCTATTGCAAGTGCAGTTCCCTAGAGAAACTTGAAGACATGGAAAGGGTGAGGGATAACAAATAGAAACATACTTCTCAAATGTCTCACGAGCCATGGTTGCAATCTGCTTTGGATCGGCTTCCAGAATGGATGACAAACCTGAACTTCCACCATTTTCAGCAAGAAGGGGAACCAGTTTTTTCCCCTTAAATGCAACCGGAAATCGTGAATCACCACAAATCCGTCTTATGACGTAGTCTAATTTTTTGTGTAGAGAAACTGGAAGCCAGTGAAGCCATTCATTGATTCCTCCTCTTGGCCTCGTAACCCGCTGAAATATCATCAAGAATGACAATATGATGAAAACTCAAATATAACACAAATGAACCTTTACTTCATTATCAAAATGAAATTTGGCAACTTTAACTCTTTATGGTCAAAAAAGAAATACTAGAAAATGCAAATCCCAAACAAGTAGATAATAGATCAGTAAGTTAGTGGAAGTACATCTCTTCCAGCTGTTTATAACATGAATAAACAAATCCAAGACCAAAATAGGCCCTACAAGATACACTCTAGTAGCATATTTATTTATTATAACAACAATAGTGAAGTAATAAACCTCAATTACAATGAGAAAGCAGAAACCCATGTTTTAAAAGGGAGGTGAAGTTTTTGCCTTGAATGCTGATGTCCTAAAGTCCAACCTTGAGGTTCATGCCTAAAAAGACAACAACTATAATAATAATAGTAATAATAATAGGAAGAAGAACAACAACAAAGTTTTTAAAAGACTTTTACAGTTATAAAAACTTTTTATAGGGATTAAGTCATTAAGAATTTGAGACCTGATATGGACATGTTTGGGCTTGCTTTGAGGGGCTTTGGTACAAAGGCAGCTTATAGAATCGGGAATGCATAATGTTTAACATCACATTAGCTATTTGAAATAATGCAATTGGGAAAACATAAAGAGATTAAGAGCTTACTACATGCTTGAATATGTTTTATATGTTATGCTTGATTTTATTTTTAAATTTCCATTCTAAATATGTTTTACATGTTATGTTTATGTATCTTAATTTCTGACAATAGGTTTTTCTAAAACATTTATTTTAGAATTTATGTTTATATTTTTAATTAATATTGTGTTTAATATTTTTAATATTTTGCTTTTTTTTATTTTTTGGCATTTTTTAATCATTTGGATTTTTTTTAATTTGTTACCCTTTTTATGCATTTTTGCACCTTGCTTCAAAAAGGTGTGCACCTTGGGCGCAAAACCACTTCAAAAAGGTTGCGAATCAAATTGAAAAGATCATGAGAGATCTTATTTGGAAACCAGGTCACTCAAAAAATGATCACTTGGTAAAATGGGAAGTGGTTTCAAGGAAGAAAGATAGAGGGGGTTTAGGCATTGAAAATATTAAAGAAAGTTAGCGCTGCTAGGAAAATGGTTGTGGAGCCTCCACGGGCAAGAAAGTTTATGGCACAAAGCGATAGAAAGTATCCATGGAATGGCAACAAATGAATGGGATGCTAGTCTCAACCCCAGGGCTTCCCACTTCTCTCCGTGGAAAGACACTGTTGGAGTTCTACTTGTTTTTCTACTTTCACCAGGTATGATGCTTGCATTGGTAATAAAGTTCTTTTTTGGGAGGATATTTGGATTGGGGGCACTCCTCTTAAGGATAGATTCTCGATCATCTAGTCCCTTTCCTTGAACAAATTTAAAACCATTTCTTGTTTTTGTGTCTTTGGGGATTCTTGGGGTTTGGGCTTGAGAAGAGCTTTGAGCAACTCAAAAGTGGGCATTGCAAATTAATTGTTCTCTTTTAAATTCAGTGTTTTTGGATCAGCCTTGTCTTGATAGTAGAATTTGGTCAAAGTCATCTTTGGGTTCTTTTTCTTGCTTTTTGTTCTTTAATGCTCTATTGCAGTCTAATAACTTGGCTATCTCTTTTCCTGTTAGAGAAGTGTGGTGTACTCCTATACCTCCAAAATTAGGACTTTTTGTTAGGAATTGATTATCCAAAAAAGCAGTACTTTGGATGTGCTTCAAAGAAAGAAACCAAACTAGTGTTTATCCCCACATGTTTGTAGCCTTTGTTTGAATAGTGGTGAGCTGATGAACCATCTATTAATCTCCTATTCTTTTGTTACTCGTATTTGGGATTGGTTCTCCCCTCATTTTGGTTGCAAGTGCACTCCTCCCTTGAGTGTGGTAGACCCTTTTAACTTGAGCTTCTTCCAACAACCAACGAAGAGGGGAAGGGTGATGTCTTCCAAGGGCACGAAAAATCAAAAGTAGAAGGCATTACCATCAAGGTCATACAATGGTTGGAAACTTTGTATCTCTTCAAGGCTTTTTCTGTAAATAAACCGTTTAGATGAGGGAATCGATAGCAAGCTCCTCTTCCTCATCTTTTACTGTTCATGAAAGTCGATCCCCTTCTTTACAGCATGGGGTAAAACTGAATTTTGATGGCAGTTCTATAGGTAACCCTGGTCCCTCTAGAGTTGGGGTGTTTTTAGAGATGCAGAAGGAAGAACCTTGTTCCTTTTCTCTGGCCAAATTGGGATGGGTGACTCACTTAGAGCAAAAGTGATGGTGCTACTGCAAGGGTTCTGATTGGCTAAACAGATGGGTTAACAATAGTTGGAAGTGGAGGGGGAATCTAAGTTGGTAATAGGATGGATGCATGCAAATAGCTTGGGCACTTGGTCCCTTAGACAACCTGTAAAGGAAGTTATGAACCTAACAAGGGAACATGGAGTACAGTTTAAATGGACTAGAAGGTCAGCAAATGGTTTGGCTGACACATTAGCAAAGCAAGGAGTTAATAGGGAGACTTTGTTTTGAGCATGTTTGTAAGACTGTTGTGATATGAGGGGTCACCTTCCTCTTTGAAAGTGATAGTTGCAATGTTTTTCCTTGAAGTTGATGCAAGTTACCATTTCCTATAAAAATAAAATAAAATAAAAAAAATAAAAAAACAGAATATAATTACTAGAAGGTGGTGAAGGATGATGCCATGCCATATTCCTCGTAAATCCTTAGTAGCTTTTGATTGGAAGTCAAAACATCTACAACCTTCTGCAATGAATTGATCATGATTTGTAAAAGATGAAAATCTAAATCTAGATTGATGCACTTTCTGCATATTAAAATTGTAATTAATGCAGGGCGGCAAGGGTAAATCATTTATATGTCCTTCAGATATAAAATAAGAAAATACTGTACTTACATGACTTTCTCTATTTCTATTGTTTAATAATGTTCTTCTAAAAAAAATCGTGAGGCTTAAATCTCAAGCATCCAGAAATCCTAGTACCCCGCATCACGCCTCTTCCTTTTAAAGCACTTAAATAGATCATATTCTTCAAACCCTTCCTCTAATACTATTTCAGAGACAGCAAGCGGACAACAGTGCACTCAAACAAAGCTTGTTAGTATCTTAATGCAAACTGCCACTAGAATGACTTCATCCATCTTTACTTTGACTAAATTTCATAACTACAGACATAGTTCACTAAGAACCAACTGCTAGTCTGCAAGCTACCTGGCTCTCCTGTTAACAATCGTTTAGTTTTCAAACCAGAACCCAATATATTCAAGAGAGAAAAGAATCAAAAAACGGTTAGCAGGATAAAATAGGGAACCATGCAGGTTCAGTTTCTAAATACCCGAAAAATAATGTAAAACAATTGAACAGAAACAATAAACATAGAAAGGAGTAAACGAAAGGGTCAGCGCAAGCGTTTGCTCCTGGATGTCGGTGAATGAGGAGTTTAAAATCATGGATGTTCTTGTAATATGTTTTGGGCTCAGGAAGGCCTAGTTGGCCTGAGTGTTGTATTTGGCTTTCTCATTGAATAAAATTACTTTACCTTTTTCCAAAAAAAAAAAAAAGGGTCAGCGCAAGCAACAACTTACATATATTGATTGACTATCTGTAAGCCCGAGAGCACGAACTAATCCAATACTTTGATTTTCCGCACCAGAAAACCCGTTCCCAATTATAACTGCCCGTTTAATAACACTGTAAATCCCGCCTTCGAATATCTCCGGCATCCCTAGAGAACCGCTTGGCGGCTCGGGAAGCCTGATTGCCCTCATTAGAGACTAAATTAGGGTTTCTAACCTCTTCGTCTGAACATTTAACGCTCGTCTAGGGCTTGGAAACTAAGACTACAGGGAACGGATTTAAAGCTCCTTCTCCGTTTCGTTTCTCAGCTTCTAATGCTGTGAAAGACCAAACAAAGATGAATTCCGGTCCCGATAGCACCGTTGGAGTGTATCGATCGAGTTGAGAGATTTAGTGTTCGAGAGTTTGCTTGGGAGATCGGCTTCCTCCTGTCGCCTGGTTCGCTGCGTCAGAGATAGAGAGAGGAATCTGCTAGCAGTCGTTCATTAAAAAAAGGAGAAAGGAATTTATATGGCCAATGGAGAAGAACGATGTTGTTGGGGACCCCGGATATGCTCCTCATATATGACGCCTCACACACGCCTCACGCGCACATCTGAAATATCTTCCATAGTTATAAGTTATTTATTCACGGGAGATGTTCCAATGAACGATGGATGTGCATGTGAGGCGCCCAAGTGTGAGAGCACATACCGTTCCGTTGTTGGGTATTTTCTTATGCCTGAGATAAACCGCCAACTACGACTCCACATCCACTCTTCCCACCAGCCGTCCGATTGACATTTGGCAAACCATCAACATAAGAACGACATATCGTAAGGCGTTTGAGAACCGAAATTTCGGTCATTTCAGTGCTCAACTAACTAAATGTAGCAGAATCCAGCAACAACAAAGAATTCGGATTTAGGTGGCCTACAGTAAATCACTAAATCCGAAGTTTGGAGACAGAAAAAGAAAAAAAAAAAACTTTAGGAAAAAACTTTGAAAGCAGTCGGTGGAAATTTTGCTTTTCTGCTTTTGCAGACATCGGTCATCTGAATGGTATCACGTATCATAAGTTTAGATTTTAAAATTTTGTCCCTCAAACTCATTATTTAAATAAAAATAAATGAAAATGAGTAAAATCATATGATATAAAAAATATTACAAAAATAAATAAAATATAAATTTTGATAAAAAATCAATAAATTATATCGATGAAAATTAAAAAATAAAGTAAAAATGATAACATAGTAAATTATTATAAATATAATAAAAATATTACAAAAATAATAATAATAACAGTAATAAAAATTAAACATATAAAAATATTATTTAATAAATTAAAATAGTAATAATTATGTAAAAGATATCAATAAATAAAAATAATGTAAAAGGGTAAATTAGTAAAATTTTATAAATATAATAGTAAAAATATCATGAAAATAATAAATAGTAAAAATAATATAAAATATGTAATGCAAAATAAATAAATTAGTGAAACAATATTATGATTATAATAAAAAAAAGTAAAACAATGATGGTAATAAAAATTATAAAAGAGAACGTATAATATTATTACAAATAATATAAAATAAAAATAAAGAATGTTAAATAGATTTATAAATATTAAAATAATCTAAAAAAGGTGAAACAGTAAAAAGGGTTTTAGGTTTTGGGCTTGGAATGATTTAAGATGCATGATAATTTTGGGTTTTTCTAATTCTTACAGGGGCACCGCTGGAATAAACATTTTGTATGCTACCTCCAAACCTCCGAAAGTGCTTCAAGGTAGCTCAAAGTCTGAATCATTTGGAATAATTTTCAGAGTTTTGTTGTGTACATTCGGAGGTGTAGCCAAACACCCACCGAGCGCTAAAAAAGCTAGCTTTTCAGTGTTCAATGGTGTATATGACACTATCAAACACAACCTTTATTCCTTAAGAGCATGTCTCACGCCAACCTTACAACACATCCTAGCCGTGCATTGGGAATATCTCTTCGTTAATGATATTACATGCAAGTATAGGATTCATGGCTACAAATGTATGTGAGGCTAGTGCGAGAAGTACTCTATGAGGAGCAAGTTGGAATTCCCCGATGTACAGCCACAATGGTTGTTGGAACCATTGTTGTAATGGGACTAGATACAAACTCAATGGGAGATGGGCTATCCCTATTGTTGCCTAGACCTATTCTTGGGTCAGGTATCCCAATGGGTTGGTCTAGCTCGTTCTTAGTTGGGCGTGGACAAAATTTTAGACTCGTTGGCTTGAGTTCGGGCCCAAAACACTAGGCTCAACTTTTTTTTTAGTTGGGCTCTCAGGTGGCTCAAACCCAAGTTAATAATGTTTTATATAATAAAAAGCATATAATACATATTTGGGTAAAATCTAGGATGTCTGAAAGATATGGTATCGAAAGAGTTTTGACCAATCAAAACTTATCTGTGAATTTTAATAAGTTCCACCTAATCAGTAAACACATTTATAATACTCATCAATTAGTCACAAATTCTTCATATATCATGTATTTCCATTATCATAGTAAAAAAAGGCTTCATGTTCATTTTTTTGTTGGGTTTCACTGCTTTGGGCTTTATGTGAGAACTGGGCTTGGGCTCAAGATCTAGACCCAATGATTGGGCCAAACTTGAGCTCAAACCTAAATATCTATATCAATATCTATATAAATATATTAAGCTGAAACATGTACGTAAGAAGGCATGAGGATGAGGGAAATGGAATCTAGAAGTACTTTTTGCCTTTTTTCATAGAAATTACAAGAATGTCACTATCTACCAACTATCTCTCTTTTGCTTTTTTTTTCTTTCAAATTACAATAATGCCACTCTCTCCTATCAACTCTCTCTCTCTTGCATTTTTTCTTCCAAATTACAAGAATGTCACTCTCTCTCCAACGGAGAGAGACCTTAGCTTGACATCTCGACTGCTAGGGGACCTGCAATCAAAGGTAGTCGAGTTCAAGCCGAGCTGAGCTTGAACTTCTGAGCTCAAGCTCAAGCCTCTAATTCGAATCGAGCTCAAGTTCAATATAAATCTATTCAGCTGAAATGTGTACGTAAGAGGCCATGAGGATAAGGGAAATGGAATATAATAGTATTTTTTGCCTTTTTTCATAGAAATTACAAGAATGCCACTCTCTACCAACTCTCTCTCTCTCTCTTTTGCTTTTTTTTTTCTTTCAAATTATAAGAATGCGACTCTCCTACCAACTCTCTATCTTTTGCTTTTTTTCTTTCAAATTACAAGAATCTCTCTCTCTCTCTCTCTCCATGCCACTCTCTCTCTCCAACCGAGGGAGACCTCAGCTCCGCATCTCGACTACTAGGGGACATACAATCAAAGGTAGTCGAGTTCGAGCCAAGCCGAGCTTGAACTTCTGAACTTAAGCTCAAGTCTCTAATTCGAATCAAGCTCGAACTAGACGACACCTCAACCATTGAGGGAGACTTCGGCTCAGTACCTTAGTCACTAAGAGAGATCTCGGCTTAGCACCTTGACAACTGAGGGAGACCTCAGCTCGGCACCTTGTCAACTAAAGGAGACCTTAGCTCAACACCTCGTCTACTAGGGAAACCTCGGTTCGACACTTCAGTAGCTGAGGGAGACCTCAGTTTGGCACCTCGGCAATTGAGGGAGACCTTGGCTCGACACCTCGATTACTTGAGAAACATGCAATCAAAGGTAGCCAAGCTCAAACTTCAAGGCTTTTGACTCGAGCCGAGCTTGAGCTTGAGCTCAAGTCTCTAATTCAAATCAAGCTCAAGCCTAATAGTTTATGAGAGAGCCCCTGCAACACCGGGCCCCCTCCGCTAGTAAATATATTAAGCTGAAATGTGTATGTAAGAAGGCTTGAGGATGAGGGAAATGGAATATAACAGTATTTTTTGCATTTTTTATAGAAATTACAAGAATGCCACTCTCTACCAACTTTTTTTTTCTTTCAAATTACAAGAATGCCACTCTCTCCTACAAACTCTCTCTCTCTCTCTCTCTTGCTTTTTATTTTCTTTCAAATTACAAGAATGTCACACTCTCTCTTACCAACTATCTCTTTCTTGCTTTTTTTTTCCTTTCAAATTACAAGAATGCCATTCTCTCTCTATATCTCTCTCTGTCTTACAAATTACAAGAATGTCATCTCTCTCTTTATAAATTACAAGAATGCCACTCTCTCTCCAACTGAGGGAGACCTCAGCTTGGCATCTCGGCTGCTAGGGGACCTGCAATCAAAGGTAGTCGAGTTCAAGTCGAGCCGAGCTCGAACTTCTGAGCTCAAGCTCAAGTTTCTAATTCAAATCGAGCTCGAATTAGACAACACCTCAACCACTGAGGGAGAGCTCGGCTAGGCACCTCGGTCACCGAGGGAGATCTCAACTCAGCACCTCAACAATTGAGGGAGACCTCAGCTCGACACCTTGTCAAGTAAGGGAAACCTTAGCTCGACACCTCACCTGCTAGGGAAACCTCAACTCGACACTTCACCAGCTGAGGGAGACATCGATTTGGCACCTTGGCAATTGAGGGAGACCTTGGCTCGACACCTCGACTTCTTGAGAGACCTACAATCAAAGGTAGTCGAGCTTGAACTTCTAAACTTTTGACTTGAGCTAAGCTCGAGCTCGAGATCAAGCTCAAGTCTCTAATTTGAATCGAGCTTGAACCTGATAGTTTATGAGCAAGCACCTGCAACACAGGGTCCCCTCCGCTAGTATTCTATTAATATAAAGGAAAAGATTGGCCTAAACCTGACTCATGAACAGGAATAATGTAGCAGCCCCATGATGCAAATAAAATGAAATTTTACAAACAGATTTATGCAATTTTTGTTTGTTTAGCATGATCCGAACCTTGTCTTCCCGTGCACCCTTTCAGTTTCAGGTCATATCATGTACTAGCGGGGACTCGTGCGATGCACGAAATTTATTAAGAGAAAGCTAAATAATAAAAAGGGTCATACACTAAAATACCCCTTATAGTTTCATGGATTTACTAAAATCTACCTTATAGTTATCATTTTACTAAAACACCACTTATAATTTGCAATGGATTTAATCAATCTTCAATTAAATGACAGTGGAAAATAAGAATGTTGACCTAATGTTCATTTAAATAAATCTAATCAAAAGAAAATAAAAATAAAAGTACCATTTTGCCCTTAATAAGATATGGCAACCAATCTATTGTCTACATTTATTCAATTTTGTTTTTTTTTATAAAAAAAATTGTTAGGTGTATTTTTGGAATAAAAAATCATGTGCCTAAGAGCAAAACAAACACTCCTTAATGAAATCATGGGCCTAAGACCTGAACCTCGATTCTGAAATTAACCCCCATCCTCGTTCCCTGACAAGGATGGGTTCCTCGTGGGGACCCGAATCCCCAAAATATTTTCATATAATAGTATTTTTAAAATAAATAAAAATTATAAATTATAAATAATATTTTAAATATATTTTGATATATATATATATATATAATATAAATAATATAATAGTATATTTATTATAAATAACATTTAATACACACACACACACAT